AAACGCTCCCTGATATTGGGAAGTTGTCCATGGCGGAAGGAAAGAAGGACGACATGGACGTGGACCAGGACGCTGCCAAGGGAGGTTACTCCGGGTTGCTCAGGTCTGCGATGAACGAGCCCAAGCCTCGGGATACTGCGGCTGGGCAGGTGAGACCGGACAAGACGAAGTTCGAGGAGTACCGAAAAACTGCACCCAGGTATGAGTACAGTGGGGAGGGAGATGATAAGAGGCTCCTTCCCACGAACACTCCCATCGACATGGAGAAGCCCTTGCCGGCCGAGGCGGCGATCTTGATTCCCCGGGCCGTGGCTACGCAAGCGGAGGCTGAGGAGGCAGAGAGGAGTGCCATGGAGGCTATCCGCGGAGATGCGAGGCTTCCCGACGTTGGTCAGGAGGACCGGGCGGCGGCCGATCCTCAACAGGTGACGACTGGGGATCTGGCGGCATCGGTAGATGCGCTGACCAGGACATTGAGCAGCTTGCCCGGGTGGTCGGGAAATTTGCTTGATCCCGCGAAGTCTGCTGAGCTGGTCGCGGCGAGATGGGGTGGTAAGGCGAGTTACGACAAGCCGGAGGCCCCACTGACCGAAGCCGGAATGAAGAGTGCTTCGCTGGAGGACCGAGCATGTGCTCTCACGCAGCTGAACCGGGTGGTGAACTTCCATAAGAAGTACTTGTGCTTGCGCCTTCGGTGGGCCCGTCGGCTCCAATCAACCCATTCGCGCCCGGCCAGGTTGACGAAAGCAGGGGATTCCGCACGAGTGAGAATCCTAGAAAGATGACGTACAATCTCGTGGTTTCGGACGGGAAGAGGGACTACCTTGCCGATAGGCTAGAGATAAGTCAGGAGATGCGAGCATCCGGGCTAGTGCCTCCTGAGGCTAGGACATGCCAAATAGTGGTTCCCACGAAAAGCAGGATGGGCGAGTACATCCCTGGCTATGAGCCGGGAGTAGCGGCCACGATCGCTGGGCGTGAGACTGCTCAGGCAATGATGAAGCTACTCACGAGCGACTTTGATGGATTGGTCATCAATTCGAAGAAGATCTCGGAGTTATTCGAGGAACGGGTATTGAAGGAAACCGGGCGTCAGCCTGGAAATTGGGTGAACATAGATCAGGTCGTGTGGTTCCTGAAGGAGATTGTGGGGATGGAGAACGCTGAGATGAATTGGGCATTCTTCAACCCGGCAATCAAGGCTCTCCCGGCCGGGCAGGTTGAGGTCATGTTAATGGCCATGTATGACGAATCCGGTGTCCTCCTCAAGGACTTCACCAGGTTGGTGTCCGTTAGGTTCACACGGATCGGACGGGACATGAGCTTTCAGGCTGTGCGGCGCATGTACACCGAGGTGGATGCTCCTGGTGGCTCTCTTATGTGTGAGATGCCATGGAATGAGCTTCCTATGGTGGGGTACGTCGTCATGAAGTTTCAAGACTTCCGGAAGGCGGTCCAGCTCCAAAGGATGAGGCGGAATGGAAAGGCCATGATCGAGATATTGATCACGAGGCCTGATGAGTACGAATCAATTGGAGATGGGAGGCCGGATGAGGGCTTGGTGCCGATTACGGCGACTTTGCGCCCTGATGCTGAGGTATCGCCTTCGTGGTACGTCAGGGACAGGCTACGGAACTACTCAGGTAGGTACGTGGTGGTCATGGTGGATCTTCGGGTGCACTGGTCGTTGGTTGGGCCCGTGTTTCTGACCAGGAGAAAGACTCTTGCCGTTCGGGACGAGATCCAGATGGGTACGTGGAAGGCTGCGTACATGTTCGATGATTACACGATAGTGTATCATCGCGTTTGGGAATATGGTGACTTCACTCCCGATAGGGGAAATCACAGGCGGACGCGTGAGGGCGTCAGGCTGAGCGTGACTAGCACCTTCTGTTTGAGGTGCGCGGAGCTCACGCCATCTGGGATGCATTTGTGCCCCGGTTGTGCGCTCCCGGTCTTTTATCCGAACTTCATCCCCAACGCGGACGTGGAGGACTTCGTTAGGAGCCAAATCGTCCCGGACTGGGTGAGGAGCACGGGACAGTTTAGTCCCCAGAGGATCGCTTCCGATGTGGCCGGGGTCATCAAGAGGAACCTGATTTCCTATTCGATGGCATCCGACCTGAGGCTGACGGTGCAGAGTGGGATCAGGCTGCCCCCTTATCTCGGTGAAGACAAGGGTGGCGTTGACGCGGCGTGGGATGAATTGGCAAAGGTGCTTTTCCAGTCCTCCTACGTGTCGGGCATCTCGGCCTCGGACGCATTCGTGGAGAAGTGGGTGGCGAAGCATCTGATCAAGACCGACCAAATCGATAGATTTGAGTCGGTGACGGATTACTTCCGAGCGAATCCGGCGCATGCGGCCCAGTGGGGGAGACGTATGACGACTTCCGTTAGGAAGTTCGCACGTCACGACACGTATTTGTCCTTTTACATCCCGATGGCCTATGTGATCGGTGCTGCTGCGGGTCATTTGACTCCGATGTACCCGACCCATAGGGATGATGTGGAAATCCTGGCCAGCCATCGGTTGATGTCGGACCTCAGGAACTACCTGGTCTCGTCTACGGGGTATGATGAGAAGAAAAGGTTGAGGGAGGCGGTAGCCAAAGTGCAGAAGGCAATCAGTGCTGGACAGTCGGAGCCTCCTGCTCCTTTCCGGGACCCATTCGTCTACGTTAGTGACGATCGGGTGAGGACCGTTCTTGGTGCTCAGCAACCGGAGCCGGTTGATGTGAACATCGAAGAGCTTCAGTCGGTACATCATGTTGCTCCGGGTCCTGGTCCAAAGCAGGAGCCGGTCACCAAGGGTGGAAAAGGAAAAGGGAAGAAGGGCGAGAAGGGTGGTAAGGGCGATAGTTTCCTTCCGACCCACAACCGAAGTCAGGCGAGGCATCGGGCAAAGGGTCTGGCAAGGGCGATAGTCCTGCCGCTCCGAAAGCAAAGGCTAAGGCTGACGCTGGGCCGACTCCGATGGAGGTTGATCCGCCGGAAGGTCAAGCGAAGAAGTCGTGGATCGCGGTAGCGGTCGAAGGAGCTCGACCAAGTGCAAAGGCAAAGGCAACTTCAGCTTCGAGGTCTGAGCCGAAGGGAAAGGGAACTCTGGCTTCTGAGTCGAAAGGACCGAGCCCAAGGAGAAGACGCCTGGAGACCCCAAGGTTGAGGTCAAGCAGGAGAAGGGGAGCGGAGATGATGCTCCCGGCGATAGCCGGGGCTCAGCCGATAAGCAAAGGAGAGAGAGAAAGTCTCGTTGGGATCATGAGGTGCCTGCTAAGGAATCAACGAAGCGGGAGGCATCGAAGAGACCCGATGATGTCGACAGCAGGCCAGGTGCAGCGGCGAGAGAGGCAAGTGGAGACGACCTTCACTCCGCGCTTGGTAGGTCTTCGGCAAAGGACGCGGTAGCGCCCCTGACGGCTTCCAAGGCAATGGCGAAGAAGCCAGAGGGGAGCGAAGTCAGGCTGCACTCGGCGGGGCGAGCTGCCGCAAGCCCGGTGGAAGGTCATTTCAAGACGCTACCGGATGCTTCTATGGTGGATGCGTTCCTGGGGATGTCATCCGATAGGGCGCTCAACAGACAGGTGAGAGACTTCATCAGGAACGGCGAAACAAGTTCGGCTTTGGAAGCTCTCAACCAGATCGTGGCGAACTCCCACGCGGGGCGGATACGTCGGGGTACCGATGTTTCCCGAACGCCGTCTAGGAGGTCCGATAGGACACAGGACACTAGGGATTCCCGAGAGTCGAGAAGGCGAAGATATCGACCACGGAGGGACGAGGATCGAGATCGTCGGAGAGACGATCGTCGGGATCATCGGGATGATGATTCGCTGGAACGCGACAGAGATCGACGGAGAGATGATCGCAGGAGATCCGAGAGGGATCGCGACAGGGACCGTGCGCGGGGCGGACGTGACCGGAGGAGGCGTGATGATAGCCGGTAGGCTGATTCACGAGGGTTGCGGCCGGTAGGCTTGCACCCGCCCTCCAATGGTCAACGCTGCGGGGTGATGATCACGTTCATCCTGCACCGCTGAGGCGTGTTGTCCATGCCTCTCCTGTACCGCTGATCTGCTGCTGGTGATGGTCACCAAGAAGTAGTGTGAGTGAGCGGGGAAGCAAACCAGTGGAGGGTACTCCCAGGTTTGCAAAATTAGTATTCTATTTCAAGTATGCATGGTCAGGTGTACCTCTCGCCGATAGGCAAGGGTACAGATTGGACAAATGATATCCTTTTTCATGGCTTCTGATAAGAATTAAACTTCTTGCATTTCTGATGCAAACAGTTGTGACCTATTGTCGTCATGTGGACTTTTCCACAAGGTATGTTGGACAGCGTTACCCCGATTAATTCGGGGTGGTGGCGGGAATTTAATGCCCGGGATGTCGCGCGACTGCCTTTGTGGGTTTGCTCCACCGCTGACGGCGGTAGTGTCCAGCTGTTTGCGGACGTATGCGAGCAGTTAAATCCTATCAGTAAATGGCACGCTCCACCCGTCATATGACGGGCTCCTCGTGAGGGGGGTGTGATTAGCCATGGTTTATTTCATCACCAGGGATGTCGCGGTAGTGACTGACCTGTGGTGTTTGGCTCAAGATTTTGGGTTCCGTCGCGCCTCGAATGGGCGTCGCCGAACCCCTGCGTCGACCGACGGCATCTCGGGGGAGAAAGAGACCTCGGGCCGCCGCCAGGTTGGTAGGGACCAGTCGTGCGGCCTGTTGTCGACCAAGGTTGCGGGTTAACCCTTTTCTTGTTTGGTTTGTTTTCCTTTGGTTGTTGTTCTCTGGTGTGTGGGAAACCCTGATCTTTGGGACCGGGGATTGGTTTGCTTTTGGGAACCTTTCTTTTGTGGCTTGTTTACCCCAACTAACCCATTGCCTGGGCACAGGCTCGTGCCCGAATCACACAATCCAAAAAGGGAAGCCCCCTTGTCAGAAACACCCATGGCTCTTACTGCGGCATTTTCCCGTCTTCCCGTCTTCCCGTCGATGCGAACGAGGTGGGCAATGACAACCCGCCCGGGGCCTGGCCGAAGCCGCATGTTCGGCTCATGGGGTGCTGGGTGACAACCGCAACTGTGATGCCTAGGGCAAGAAGGGCGTGGTTCCTGTTTTTTTAGGTGAGCCACTTTTTTGGGGAGTTTTAAAGGGAAACCGAAAGGACACCGTTGCCGTTTCGGTTCCCTACTTAGAGAAACACCTAGACAGCAAGGAAGCCCCAGCGCTTGAATTAACCATCTATTTTGGCCCATGAACGCCTGCGGTTCTCCGGGTACCCCAACCAACCAGCAGCTGAAAATTGGGTGTGGGGATCAAATCCCCTTGGTGGTTTTTTGGTGTATTGATTCAGAGCCATAGGGGAGCGGCCTTTGAATAGTGAGCAGTGACTAGACCTTTTGGTTTCCCAAGAGTTTTCCGCTCACCGCCTCCAAGAATGGGTCTTGTGAGGGTGTCATCCAAGAAATAGCCCCAGATCGCAACAATAGAAGTATTCGGTTTTTCCTGTTGCCACATCGATTCGAAGTGTCCATCCTGCCCCCCCACCCCGCGGCCCCCAACCCCCAGCCCCCCACACCCCCAGCCCCAGTCCCCAAGCAAAAAAAAACACGCCCAGGATTTTCGTGCAGACGGAAGTGGACCATGTCAGTGGACAGGTCGTCTTTGAGAAGCAGCAGTGCGCCCTGTGCTCGGAGCCAGCCACCCGTGCCGATGTTTTGTCCATCCACAGAAAAACGGTTTGGGGTGCTCCGAACCCGACGTCAACCCAACAGGAAAATTGGGCTGTTCAAAGGCAATCCTTAATCCTTGCCTTGGGTGACGCGAGGGGTCCCCTTGTAATTAGTGGCTTCCAATGTAGGGATGATTAGGATTGGCCAACCCTCCATTTTGAACAGCCCAGGAAAACAACTCGGTAATTGGAGCCTGACAAACCTCCCGTTCACAAGAACCACAGTTTAATCTACCCTTGTGACAGGGTGTTTGCCACCCAAGCGGTTTTTGAATCTTTGTGTTCTTCCCCGAAAAGGTCAACCTGTCATTTCTGCTTTTGGGCAATTGAGCTTGGTTGAAGCCAGCTTGTTCTTTTCCAGGAGTTAGCGTTATCACAGTTGAAAGTAGTGCTTGTCAAGTGCTTGATTCTCCCCAGCCAAGCGCGGGCCGCGCAGCCGCTGGCAGGAGTGGTGGCGAGCGCAGACCTCGACACCTGCGCACCTTCCCAGTGATGCCGGATCTTGGTGTGCCGTTGATGATGTGACCGAAAGCGACTTCGAAGACGAGTGCGTGGCAGATGCGAGTGCTGAAGATAGCGTAGACGAGGCGAGATGGCGGGCGCAACTAGCGGCGTCAGCATTGGCGCCACCGGCCCGAGCGTGTCTAGCGACCAAGTATGGGCGCTGTGAATGTCATGGTTTCCCGCGAAGAGTTTCTCGAGGAACCTTTCCTTTTACCCACAAGGGGCGATTCAAAGTACACCCTGCCCGGCCCCTGAACAAATCAATTTCTTCAACCGCCTGGACCATATCCCTTAAGGTGAACCCTAAATAAGGAGTAGTACTCAACAGTTCCTTGTATGCTTACTATTCAAACAGGTGAGTAAAACCATAGGCACATTCGTATATATATATATAGATCACCTAACAGGCTTCAAACAGGTGTGCCAGTCGTGGACCCGAGGCCGTTGGCCCCAAGCTGCAGAACCATGAGATCATCGGCGCGGGGCCCCGCCCAAGGCAACAAGTTTTGCCGTCGCCCATATTCTGTGGGTCAAAACCAATGGGATCCCATTTTGGTTGGTAGGTGCACCACCCATTTCAGTCTATTTTGGTGGGGATTGGGATGTTCACTGTGGGGGTACGGGATTTTGACCCATGGCCATGTAACCTTGGTGGCTCCCAGCCATCCGGTTCCTTAGCTGTTTGGCTTTTTAGCTTTTAGTGGGGCTTTCGGTATTTAATCCATCAAACGTTGACCTTTAGCGGGGGATCTGAGGACAGCCCAGTAAACGTAAATGCGTGGCTCGTTTTTGCGTTGAGGGAGACCTTTTTGGTTTGTGGGGATTAGGGAAACCAAAAGGAAAAACACCGTTTTGTGGGCCCCCCGAAAAAAAGATGGGTCTGTCTTCTAGCACCAAACATGGCACAACGGTTTTCCTATTGGTGTTCTCGGCCAATGTAAACATAAATGCGAAACCTAATTAGAGCATATTGTTTTTGTGTGGACCTGTTTTGTCTGGGAGACTTTTAGATAATCAAAAAGACACGACTCCTCAAAAGGGGGCGCCGAATCCAAACGTAGAGGTGAGTTTTGGGGGTGGTGTGTTAGGCAGTCCTAAGTGGTCAAAAGCATGCAACAAAGGCCCACGGAACGGGGACTTACAACCATGGCCACTAACTCACCACTTGCAAAGTACCTCGCCCCTTCAAGTAGGGGTACCCTCCCCATTCTTTCCAGGGATCCTTGTTTCCAAAAAATCACCAACAGCCCAAAAGAAACGGCCGGTGATTCCAAGAGTGATGGTTGAAATGAGTTCGGAATCATCCCCTAGACCCCTCCAAACGGTGTCAGCTTCCTTGTGGTTTCCCTGATATCATCCAAACGAAGGTCCAGTTCCAAGAAATCACCCAGTATGTCGTCTGTCTTTTTTGAGCATGTCGCTTTGAGTTCAGTTTTGCTCATTACCCCCAGCTTAGTGGGGGACAATTTTACCCAGAAATCGACGCGGAGAGGCACATTTGTAGATTACCCAAGGGCACCCTTTCTTCCTAAATTGTTGAGGGGGTTTCCCTTTGACTACCGTTTGCTGGAGAATAGGCTTAAGTTCGCCTGTAGCTTGCCTGACCATTGGCAGTGCCACTGGGGGCTCGTGGAAATGCTCTTCAGCCTCCATGAGGCCTCATATTTGGCTCTTTCTTTTTAAATGTTGGCCCCATATCGAGCAACCAACCAGTTTATTTAATAGGGGGGTGTCCTGGGTGAAAATGTGGGGAATCGGACCACTTTTGGAGGGAACTCCCCTATTCATAAACTCGGGTTAACATTTTTGGAGACCAAAAGGACACCCATACATAAAACAGGGGCGCCCCCCAACATTTTGATGCGTATGCCTTCAGGGGCAACTGCAGAAAGATAAGTGGCGCTCAAGATGGCCCAATGGCTCCTGATATGAGCAGCTGTCAATTCGTTCTGCGAAGAATGGGGTCATCAGTGGGTCATCGTAGGGGTTTTCCTTTTGGTTTCCCTTTGCAACCAGCCAAAGCTCGCTGGTTCTCAGAAATCAACCAATGAGTTTGGGAATGAACCGGGGGAATCCATGGACAACCATGGGGATGAATCATAGGCTCATGCCTGACCAGCGAGGAAAAGGGCGCCCTCCAAAAAAGACACCTAACATGGTACATTAAAATCCAATGTCCTTGGCAGCCGACAGACAACATGGGAAAGTGACGGCTTGCCCCTGGGTTTTTTGTGTCTTGTGCGGGTTTAGGCCCCCATACTATATTTTTGGTTCGCTTTACAGCCGCAAAGAACGGGCCAAATGGGTTCCTTTTGGTTTCCCTTTTAGTTTACCTTTTGGCTTACCTCTTGTTTCCCTTTCGTTTTCCTTTCGGTTTTTTCTTTTGCTTTACCTTCTGTTTTCCCTTTTGGTTTCCTTTTGTTGTTGTTGGTTTTCCTTTCTTTTCTCCTTTCGATTTGTATTGGTCAGAAGCCAATCCAAGGCCACCGGCCAAAGCCCGGCCCACGCCCCGTGGCAAGTTCGCGAGGCCTGGCCACCGCGGAGTTGGCCTACGCGGTGGACCAAGCCTCCACCATCGTCATGCCGGGGCCCCTCCACCTCGCCGAAGGCCCCCCCCCCTCGAAGGAAAACCCTCCGCTTCCATTTGCCTAAGGCTTTGGGCGGCGCCTCCGGGGAAACCCTCCCTTCCATTTGTCTAAGAAGAGTCTCTATTTTTATTTTCCCTGGTTGGGTTTGAAAGGAATTTTGCCACTACAGGTTTTGTTCATTCTTTGTTTTTTCTCCGGGGGTCTTACCCAAGTGGAAGCTCCGCTTCCGAAAACGCGCGCGGGCGTGAAAATGGGAGCGAGATCTCTACGCGGCGGGCGCTTTTGGGAGGGGGTTGCAACCGGTTTTTGAGTTGGACGCATGGAATGGGGCTGGGAGGAAACGAAGAAGGTGAAACCGGTTTGCCTTTTTGGGGGTCGCCGACAAAAGACTCACCTAAGTGGGGCGAACAAAAACAGAGAGAGAGAGGGAGAGGAAGAAAGAGAGAGAGAGAGAGACAAACAGACAGCAAGAGATAAGGAAACAAAGGCAGCCAGTAAAACAAATACAATCTCGGAACTATAGATGTTCCGTTTTTGGAAACTTCCGCGAACCGGCTTCGCTGGCTCTACTGGTGGAGAGTCTTTGATGGACATTAATCCTCACGAAAAATGATATCCACCAAAGAGTCCCCCATTAACATTCACACCCATCTTTAAAGAGACAAGTTGCGCAACCCTAGCTGCAAGCGCAAGACGTGAAGCGGGGCATCATTTGAGGAGGGCTATGCAAATACCCGAGCAACGTCCAATCCTCATTGGTCATTATGTAGGCTATAGTAGGTTATTTAAAGTCTAGCTGACCATTTTGGTAGAACCAAACACCAATGAGCTTGAGGCGCTGCTTGCCCAAAAGTGCTGCACACGGGCAAGCTTGCCGTTGACACGCTGACAGGATAGTCTCGGAGGCTGGGCGCACGTAGATGTTTTAGGAGTTCAATCGGCTAGCAACCCCTGCTTCACCCCTAGTTAAGCGAGGATTGACTTAATGGGGATGCCCCTCCACTCAACCCTGCTGACACGTTTTGGCTCATGTAAGCGAGGCGGCAGCCTTCTGCTGAACACCAAACACATAACATTTGTTTAGCTGAGTGGGGGAAGTAATTCATGAGAGATAAAATCGGAGCTGCCTGACTCATCATTTTGTTGTTGCGCAGCGGGGAGAACAAACATTGCGCGCTGGACTTGGGGGAGTGTGAATCCAATATTGCTTATTGGGCGCAAAAACCTATCCGAAGGCGGACTCGAGCGAAACAAACTTAGTTTTGGGACTTCGGTTTTCAGCCAGCCTTAGCATCCAAATGGTCACCAAATGCCAAATGTGATGTCCTTACTTCTAGATCTTTTAACTGGTCAAACCACACGTGCTTTTAGACAAATGAGATCGCGTGAGCCCTCTGGTTTTTGTGCTTTCATTCAATGTCGCTCCCATATTAGTCATCCCTAGTTTATTAATATGGGATTGTTCCCCTCCAAAAGTGGTTTGATTCCCCTCTAAAACCAAGGACACCCCCATATGGATAACACGGGTTGATTAATAGGGGGTTCAACATTAGTTGGCGGTTTGTTTTTTCGCTAGACCCCTTTCTTACCCAAGCCGCCGGGCTCCAAACTACCAATTGGAGGGAAGCCAATTTGGAGGTTGGACCCCCCAAAAGTGGAGGTTCTCCTTTTGGTTTCCCCCGAGCAACCAACAGGAGCCCCCATGATTTTCCTTTTGGTTTCCCCCCCAAAAACAAAGGAGGTCCCCTCAAAATGAGACACGTGGTCAGTCTCCCTGGTCCACCGATCCAAACCGAGCGCATCGTCTCAGGTGCTTCTGCGTCCAGCGCATGTACTTGGAGCCTGAGGCGTGCGGTGCGTCTGAAAGAGTCTTCGAACCCTCTGGGTGAGGGCCCCCCCCCTCTTTTGCTTGGACCACCTCCCCCCCTTAAACTTACCTCTTAAGAACACAAGTTTTCAACTTTTTGGGTAACACGGGCTATATGTCTGTAAAAGATTAACTTCCCCAGGGCTTGGAGTTTTAAGGGGTAAGCAAACGATTCCCTACTAGTGAGCAAGACGCTGCTGCAAGTCCAACCTTTTGATCTCGCTTTCAGGGCGGGTCTCAGGTGAGCCACGTCCTCAAAGCCGATTCGGGGTTGATCCGGTTAAGGGCCAGTCGCCAGAAGAAATAGCTCCGGAGATCCGCCCGGGAAGAATTCTCGTCCGCCGTGGGACGACCATTTGGCAAGTGACTCAGGTGGACCTGCTTCGCGAGCTTCCGGACTTGAAGCTTATGCATCTTACCATCTTACCGGTGGCTCGAAGTGAGGCCAATAAGATATACCCATTCTACAACTGGGCAAAAATTCGACTCAGGTATCCAAAAGCCACTAGTCAAAGGTGGCTGAATTTCAGGCGCTCCCTGAGTTCCTGGGCTTGAGTCACTTGGCTCAGACACACGGCCGGAAGCTCCCAGAAGGCCGATCTGGCTGATCTGGAGCCCAGCCTTCCTTTGGCGGGGTGGGAGCCCGGGGGCGGGTACTTCCCGAGCTTTTGGGCTCATTATCCAAGCCAAACAATGAAAGGCAAGCTGAATAGCTCTCCCTGCATTCCTGGACATTTGGACTTTGCGCTTGCTCCAACATACAAAGAAGCTGCCATAGTTTTTTTATTATTATTATTGTATTATTATGATTTGTCGGGGGGGGGGGGGACTTTAGTGTAACTTGTAGTTTCTCCATCCTGCGTGCCGTGTTAGCATCTAAATATGTATTTTGCCTCGGCGTCACTTTTTTGGGGGAATCTCCATTTTAAAACAACGAGCTTGGCTACTTGTTTGGGCCAATCTACTTGATCGGAAGGCGAGGATTTCGGTTGTCTCAAAATGTGGCACCAGAAAACAACAAGAAGAGGCATATGGTGGAAAAGAACGGGGAATCATGCCCAGATGGCCAGAACCATTCCTCCTGGTTTCTCTTCAGTAGGGTTAACAGCCGACAAAATAGAACAATTGGTGTTGGATCCGTTTTTGCCCTTTTCCAGCTGACAAATCTCTACCCTACCGTGTTGACCAGGTGCCGGGGGAATGGAAGTATGGCTGTCATGGCGGTCTCGAGTGCGCAGTGGAGTCCGCACCTTCCACAGACCAATGTGACACACACACACACACACACACCAAGTGGTGTCTTTTTCTGGTGGTACCATGCGTCGGGCTTGTTTTTTGAAGGAAAACCACGGGAAAGCCACCCAGCTTTTTCGTGTATTTGGGGACCAACTTGTCACTTGAGTCTTTTGGCTTGGGGTGGTTTTGGGAACCTTCAAGCTCAACTACCAAACAGACGGGTTTCCGGTTTTTTCCCCTGGCCAGCCTCTTGAGCGGCATGCGCCTTAGAAATGGGAGAAAGCCTCTGATGAATCATCTCTCCGTTTCGCGCAGGCGAAACGTCTGACCTTCGGCATCGAAGGATCCCAGCGAATATGAGGGTTCAAGCAGCCCAGTAGATTCCGCCCTTTATTTCCATTTTTTTGGGGGGGGTTTTAAGCTCCACCAACCAAAAAAGGATGCCGCCCCTTTTTTCCCACGCAATCCAGTGGGAGGAGGGCGCCCCTACTAAAATAGACTACAGAAAAGCTAAGTCGGGTACCCTTCTAACCTCTCGACTGGAGGACCTAGCTTCACAATTGACTGGGGGCCTTCCTCGCAGCGATCACGCGGTTTTTTCGGGTTTTGGCTACGCGGGGTCGGTTTCGCAGGTGATGCTCCAGCTGGAGGACTCGGACCAGCGTGCCCAAATGTGCCGGGGCCTGCCAGGTCAGCTCCTTCCGTCCGTCCGTGCAGCTTTGCTCCAGCGGGGTTTAGGTGGGACTGGATCCTGAGTTTTTCCCGTGGTTTAAACACCACCTTGCTGATGAGTTTCCCTTGGTAGGGGTGATGATTTTAGAGGGTGGGACCCCTGGGTCCCTAGGTTTTTTTCTTCTTAGGTGGCTTAAACATCACCGTTTTGGCCCCTTTCGGTGAGTCAGACAGTCGGGTGGGAGCCCTGGATCGTTAGGTTTTTCCCCTGGCTTGAACGTCACCTTGTTGGCCCTTTTCGGTGAGTTTCCCTTGGTAGGGCTGATGTTTTGAGGAGAGGTGGCTGCTCCTTTTGACAAGGTAACATGTTCGGATGCTTTTAAATAGGGTAGCCAAAAGTTGCAAACCAAGAGTTTTCGCTGGTTCCGAGTCCTATGTTGAGACAAAGCCAGGTGTACCGGCGAACCATTTACTAATATATCCTTTGATTACGACTTGGTGTTAGAGTGCCCCACAACCCCATGCTAATTAGTTGCCCCTCGTTCCAATTTGGGGCGTGGGATTCTCCCTGCGGGAAAATACAGGGAACCTAGCAACAAACATAGAAGTGCGTGGACCTTCCAAAGACTGCGATGTGGACCCCAGTGGTTTCTGTGTACAAACCCGGTAATTAGTTTAAACCGCCGCCAAACAAAAATAACAAATGACCTGCGGCTTGGCCTTTTTTCCAGAGATCATGGAAGTTGACCAACTCACTGAAGGAGGGAACATGGCTTCCAGGTCTCATTTGTTTTTTGGTGAACATCACCATGTTGGCCCTTTTTCGGTGACCTACCAACTTGGCAGCTGGAAGTTGAGATCAGGGGTTTGCAGCCACAGTCCGCTTGTCCTCATTTGCCCGACTTTGCTTGCCTGTTTGACTCTGAAAGCCTTGTTGGTCTTCTTCACTGTTGTTGCACGTTTCAGGTGTTTTGGTCCGTTCATTTCTTGTAGGGGGATAAACACGACAAAGTATTTTGCTACCATACCAAGGGTTGGAAAGGGTTTTCCATCACTTTCCCTTTCAACCAGCAAACATGAGTACAATTCTTGATCACTTTTCCCAGTTGCCCAGTGGATTCCGCCCTTTTTTCCATTGTTTTGGGTTTTGGGTTCCCCTTGAAACTCAACCAACCAAAAAGGGATGCCCATGTTTTCCCATGGACATCCACTGGGCATTTGAGTTTGTTTATGGCCCGATCGGTGCGAGTCAACACGCTCGGATACCCCGAAAGAAGGAAAGAGAGATCTGGCCCAGCAGTGAGCTGAGCGAATTCAAGCGACGAATTTGTGACTCCGTCCAGAATGAACTCACTTCCCCAGTTCCTGGACTTAATCTTATTGGGAAGCCCATTTTGGTGGTAAGCAAAAAGTATGTATTTATTCTACTAGGGAACCACCTCACAAATGATTGGTGGACATGAACCCACCGAGTTTTGATGGCCATCAGTTTGGGTCCAAGCACCCAACTGTCCCTTGCAAATGTCGCCAGGACCCGGATCCTTTTGGTTCAAGCCAAAATTGCTCCGAGTTCCCCTTGAGAAACTCCTTTTGCTTCAAACCAAAAGCTCCGAACTCCAATTCTTTTGAGGAACTCCAAGATGGATGGTTTTGAGGCCAACCAGAATCACTAGGTCCCCCAGTAGTGCCCTTTTCCCCCTTTTTTTGGGGGAGGGTTCCCTAAAATAGACTACGTGAACAAATCGGGTACCAACTTATTCTCACCTTTTGAATCTGGCGGACTTAAAGAGCCTTGGCACCATATTTGTTGCTCTGATCTTTTTCGGGGGGGACCTCCCCAACATGGGCGGTTTCGGCATCTAAAGGCAGGCGCGCGCGCGCAACTCGCAAGTTCTGAGGCTCCAACTTCACGGACATGGCCACAGGCAACTACCACCGTGCCGGGGCGGTTGGAGCGGAGAAAGTGAGCGCCTTCAACCCCGTTTGGAGCGGGGGAGACATGTTTTTTCCGGGAGAACGGGTGACCACTGCCTGCTCAGGTGTTTTTTTGTCCCCCACTCCCTGACGGACTTGAGACTTTTCGGGTTTGGCTCGTTTTGGTGGTAAACAAAAAGTTTGGACTTGTTTTTCCAATCTACTCAGGAAGTGAGTATAGGAATTGGAGCACCCCCCCCCCCCCACCGGAGAAAAACAACAAACAAACAAAACATTAACAACAAGACATGTTTTGGGGCGGGTATCGCTTGACAGTCCTGTAAGCGACCCCGCAACATGGGTACACTCAAACAAACATGGACACTCGTTCTTTTTTTTTCAATCATTAGACTTTGAGTCTGAGATGTCCCAGTAGAAGTCTAACTTTTAGCAAGGGATCAAAGAACCGCAATGTTGTATGAGCTTACTATGATGTAGCTGGTCCTTCAGAGATTTTTCTTGCTTCAGTTTTGTTCATTGACAGTATCGGTAAACCCGGCAGATGTTTGGCGGATTTTTGACGAGCCTTTGAAAGGGGTAAAAGCAATGGTACCCTGAGTTGTTCAAACCACCAGGTGGTTTAAACAATGGTGCAACCATGTGGGGTTGTGTTTTTGAGGCTACCCTTTTTTGGGTGGGCTTTTAATAAGGAAACCGACACAGGCCCAACCTGGCTCCCAAAAGAGATACCTTTGCTCGCGGCACAAGCGAATCGACCGGAGCTTCAAGTATGCGCCGGAGGGCGACAGCGTCGCAAGCAGTTTGCAGGTTCAACTTCACCCACTTTGCTAGCTTGGGTGTGAAGAAAGATGACAAAGTTGTGGATCAAATGGTTGCTCGCACTGGCAAGGAGCCCATGTTGCCGATGAGGCCCAGCGAGCTACTGGAGGTCTCTGACGATCCGATATAGTCTTGAGCGCAGAGTGACCTTTTGGCTCACTCTCGAGTTTAGACTTTTTGGGTTTGGTCCGTTTTAGTGGCACACACAAAGCTCGGACTTTTTCTGGCCAATGCACTCGATCGGAAGTGAGCATTGGTTTCCCCTAAAAGTCCATGACTTTTTCCACGCCTTAGCTCATGAAGGCTTTCCAAGGCCTCGTTAGTTCGTCCATGTTCCTTTGTCCATTGGTTGTGGCCCCTTTCAGGTGCTCACCATGAGTGTCTGGGTTTGTAGGGTTGAGTGAGAAGAGCTAGACTAAACCCAAAAACCAAATTTCACGGGTTTCTGTACACAACATGCTTCCAGGGTAATCAATGCTGTGGATGGACGAAATCCTGCACCATGTTGAAACCATGGGAAACATTCTTCCTTGGTAATTGCACGGGAATGGAATCATCCCAGGGTTTCTTAGGTGGTGCAGGATTGCGTCTATCCACGGTATGCCAGACTTGGTGGTGCGGCTCTTTGTTTTCGTAGTTGGTTTAGTGGGTTTTCCGTATGTCACCCACTGGACAGTTAGTCACTTTTCGGGGATCAGAACTGGGGTAGATTTAGGATACATTTTGCATTTTGCCAGTGACTCAAAGTGAAGCAAACCATGAAATATACAGTCTATAACTGGGCCTAGCTCTAGCCCCAGAAGAGTGGGGTGTAAAAAGCGCTTCCTTGGAGTTGGAGTCTCTTTCCGAAAAGCCTCTTGGGGGGCGCCTGGGCTGGACAGTTTGGCAGCGCAAAAATGTTGACCCAGGATTAATAAACCCGACCTATCATTAGGGGGGTGTTTCCTCCAAAAGTGGTCTGAATCCCCACAAAAAAACACCCCCCAATCAAAATCAACCAGGGGTTCTGCTTACTCCGGGGTTAAGATTATACTTTTTCCCCCGGGGGCCAGGAAATGTGGTAGCCAGAGTGCAAACATGCCATGTGTTCAGTCACGTTCCATAGGTCCATAGCCTTGTGGTTTTATCAGCATCTAGGCCACTCTTTATTGTGAGTTTCCATCGAGCGCACCAGGGAGTTCAGCATCTGGGACGTCACTTTGATTGAAAGCCAGACATAGATTCACGTGTTCTTTCAACAAAACGAGGTGCACCCCTCTGTAGCTAGCAGTTCCTTTCCACAAAACACAGCGCCCCCCCCCCCTCGATGTTTTTTTGGAAGCATTCATTGTTTCAGGGATCCCCCAACAGTTCAGAGGCTTTCTTCAAGGAATCCTAGGTCCCCCAGTAGTGCCCTTTATCAACCTTTTTTTTTGGGGGGGGGTTCCCCTACTAAAATAGATCACAGAAAAAACGGGTACCTAGAATTCATTTTACTGCATGACCTAGAGTTCATTTTCTTCGTTCCCCAAAACGCGGGGGTCGAGAGGGTCAGCAGAGATTCACTGCGCCACCGAGTCCTGGATACGCGTGGGCGTCGTCGTGGTGTTCAACGAGATCTTTGAGGCGCCACTTGCGTCGCTCCTCGGATCCCCTACCAACAAAGGTGTCTGGGGTACATTCTACCAGTGACTCAAAGTGAAGCAAACAATAAAATATACATTCTATAATATAATTCCATAACTGGTCCCCACTCTAATCATGGTGTGTCTGTTTTGGGGAACCCTTGTTTGGTTGGTGTTAAGGGTCAATTCAAGGAAGCGAGCCCTTTTCGGGGGTGCCCTAGAAAAAGACATGCCCAAATATGCCTCATGTACGGCTTACTTTTGGGCGGGTGTGTGTGTGTGTGTGTGTGTGTGTGTGTGTGTGTGTGTGTGTGTGTGTGTGTGTGTGTGTGTGTGTGTGTGTGTGTGTGTGTGTGTGTGTGTGTGTGTGTGTGTGTGTGTGTGTGTGTGTGTGTGTGTGTGTGTGTGATATGCGCTTATCTTACAAGAAAAGTCGCGCGCGAGCTCGAATTTTCGGAGGGATGTCCTTTGGGCGGATGTACAAACCCCTGGTTGGTCAACAGGAAGGCTTTTTTGTTTCTTTCGAGGTCCCCCAGTAGTGCCCTTCTCTCCCTGTTTTTTGGCGGAGGGGGATTCACCACATTAGGAGGGGCCCCCACCCGCCTATTAAATGGTTTTTCAAAGGAACAGCCTGTCATTGCTGAATCGAAAGCAAGGAACGACCCACTCACCAGGGGTCAGAGCTTCGCGCAGACATCGTGATTTCTCATTTCGCTTACAGGAAATATGGACAATGGTTTGTACTTGTTCTCCACCACCAAATCTGCCAGCCATCCAGCTTTCAACGCATTAGGTCTCCAATCGCAGGGCCGCCTTGTCTCCAGATTTGGTGCTTGGAATAGGGAGCGTTTCACCCGGAGGTCGGCATGGGTTTCTCGCCCGAGGCGCTTGGCGGTAGGCGTGAGCCACAAAAGGCTTCCTCAGCTCCTGTTGTCTCAGTTTGCAAATAGGAATCAGTACCCCAAAAACGGATTTCGGTCTTCCTTGTTGGCTTCCCTTTAAACCAAGGTCATCATGGTATCCTTAAACAAAGACACACCCATGTGGATGGGGAAAAACACTTTGTACCAGTTGAGCGGTGGTGGGGTCTCAGGTGCCTGATTCGGGGTCTCAGGACATATTCTCACTTCCCGAGTTCCTGGACTTTCTTCTTTGGGAAGACCATGTTGGTGGTAAAAAAAAGCTCATACTGTGTTTGTTGCCAATCTACTCAGGAAGCGAGCATTTCGAATTCTCATGTTGACCGGCTCTTTGGTTTGATTGTTTTACGACGCGCGAAAAAAGCGTTTTCGGAGGAGGACGTATCCCAAGATATCAGCTAGCAAGGGATCAACGCACTAATCCAACCATGGTTCTGGAGCATGCTCAAACAGTTATGGAGGGTCCTTGGAGCTAAGAGCTTAATGTTGACCCAGGATCTAAGTAGAACCCGTCCGATTATTAGGGGGGTGGAAACCCCTCCAAAAGTGGTCTGAATCCCCCACTAAAAGGGGACACACCCCCAATCAAAATCAACTAGGGGTTTATGAATCCGGGGTTAACATTAGCAACTTTTGTCTGGTCTGAACCAAGCCTTCGCCAGGCGACGATCCGCGGCACCTCCACCAGTGTGCGGTACAAGGCGACATGGGATTGTTTTTCTTTTTCTTGCAAAGGGTCAATCGTGTTCTTCTTGTGTTCCTCCATTTCCCCCTTCGCAAGCCTTCAAAAGTGGCCTAGGTCCCCCAGTAGTGCCCTTTCACCGTTTCTTTTTTGGGGGAGGGTTCCCCTACTAAAATAGACAAAACCGAAGAAGTTGGTACCCTTATTCTGTCTACTGAAGGACCTAGTGGCAGTTTTAGTGGACCACTGCTGGCAAATCGATCAAGGTTGGACTTGGGGAAATGCAGAGACCCGTTTCTGTTTCTGGAGGAAGCTCGGGAAGTGCGGGAAGTCACTCGCTTTTGGAGGATTGTTTTTGTTGGCGGGTTGGGAGTCTCTCTCAATTGTACCCCAACCAATCGCAGGGCACAATCAATTTGCAGCTTGGTGTGGCGGCCAGGAGGCGTGCAAAGCGCTTCGGCCGGATTGCTCTTTTGAAGATTTTTGGGTGGAACGGTGAAGAACTTTGGGGGAGGTCATAAGAGGGGAGGTGAAGATTGGGGTTTGGCGGCCACAAGACCATAGGTGTCCTTTTTAGGTGAGCCTGGTTAAAAATTGATGGCACTGCTTTAGCAGGGTTTTGCTTCATTTACCAGGGCCATCTATTTTTCCAAAAGGCCACCTATGAATGACACACTCACGGATTCCGATCATTTTGGTGTGTGGGTGCCCCAAAGGCTCAGTCATGAAGCAGTTTCTTTGAGCCCTAAGCATCGACAGCATAGGCTCCCCAGACCTCCGGAAGGAAGGGACACGGGAAAATCCTTGAGCACCCAGGACGAGACCACCCGACTGGTGCGGCATTTCAAGCACCTCGGACTGGTGACTGGGGCAACGGGTTGATCTGCCTATTTTACAGCCAAGCTCGCCTGGGGGGGGTTTGGCGAGCTCACCGTGAGAAAGGTCCGATACTTGCAGATCCCCGAATTCAGCTTTTGGAATCATGGTAAAACTATGCAGATAGTTGGGTTATTGGTGAATTGGTGGGCTGAGGTGGAGTGGGGTGGGCTGGGGCGTATCCTGGAGACATGGCAAACGGCAGCCGCATTGCACCATACTTGGCCGGGTTGCTTCTACTGTTTGAGACCCGACCGTATTGGTTGTTCAAGAGCCTGATGTTCAGACACACCCCTATCGATCTGCGAGGATTGTTCATGGGTGGCCGTCTTGCTTGCATGTTGGGAGAACTTTGGCACACCTCCAGACCAAGACTAAGCTGCAAAGGGGCCCCTTTCGTAGCGTAGGGGAAGGCTGAAGAATTTAAAAGATGGCCTTTCAGGCCAAGTTCGTTCGACCCGACCTGACTGTTTGCCTGTTTGCTTTTCATGTTATCCAGAGCCTAAAAGGAAGAAAGGGCCAAGTCAATGGTTGGTGGCCGGGGGTACAATTCATCACGTTTAGAATTCACATCCACCATTCTGGAAACGCGCGGTTTGGAGGGAAACAACTAGAAACCATTATTTGCCTCCGCTCCAAATGGAGGTGGTCAATTATGTTTGAGACGCACCGTTGCACACATATTGGTTGAAAGGACAAATGTTCCCAATGACAGCGTGCTGCTCATCCAGCATTTGATTTGATGCGACCCATGTCCATCCTAATTTACATACCGTGAATGAAGGGCGCACATGCCAGTGAAAAATTCATAGTTCAAGGGCATTTGCAGGGGTGCGTTTTGGAGGTGTATGTATGTAACGGGATGTTCTCGCACTTTCACCTACCGGTTCATATCATCTCCGCCGACAGGAAGTGGCATATCCCTGAGAGACATATTCAACGTGGCCGTTTGACCTCTGAAATTAGGATTTGGACTGGTTTTCCTGATTGTCTCCCTTTCAAAAACCAGGACCAGCCCGAAGAAATCCTTCCGCGCCACGCCTACCGCGAGCCACACCCAAAGGCTCAGTGAACGGGGTGAATGCCAAGCCCGGGGGTGAGGATTGGGAATCCAGTTTTTTTCCTGGGGCTTCTTTTGTTTTTGTTTGACATACTACTGTAGCCGAAAGGGGGTCTTGCATGTGAGACACGTCGGCCCTGATTTATTGGTTTTGTTTTTTTTTAGTAGGGACCCCTCTGGACAGGAATTAGATTGACGCTTCACGTCCACCACTTTTGAGGTTCCAACTCTTAAGAATCCTGGCAACAAGACACAAGGCACCAACCCCAACCACATCCGCAATGTGTGCTTTTGAAACCAAGATCCATTTACTATAGGCAGCACCTGGTTGCCCACTCTGGTTCTGGGAAAGGCAGAGGTGATCGCCCAAAACGAGTTGGGTGGAAACAATGGCCTCACGGCTTACTATCAAGATGGTTTCTACCACTACCCTCAATATTGCAACTAAACCAACCCACAAGCCACGGTTGACATGGGTTTCCTTTCTTTCCTACCTGCATCCACGGTACCCTTTATAGGTGGCTACGTGGCTGTCCATCCATTCAACATCTGGGGTCCCTGTTGCTTCACCACTTTACCGGCGAAGCCAAAGCCAAAGCCATGCCTGAGGAACCTCTTTTGGTTCTGGCCCGAGCCTGAGCACGCGCCGTCTCGAGACGGCTCCCGGCTTGGGGGACCTTCCTCCAACCCGAATCTACAAAACCTAGGTTCCCCAGTGGTGCCCTTTTTAACTGCTGTTTTGGGGTTTTGGGTTCCCCTAACATAGACTACAGACAAAAGGGTACTCTTATTCTAACCTCTCTACGACCCAGGAACCACAGCATTTGAGCCATGATCAAAACCCGGGCAAGTGAAGGATAGTAAGCGAACGTCCCGGCCATATGTTTTTCGGCCGTCTTTGTAGTTCTTTACATTGGTTTGGGTACACCATTTTAATGCCAGGTTTTGATTGTGACTCATTTAGAGTCACACTCGTACTGGGATGGATCAAAGTCTATGAACACTTGGATAAACCACCAATCCCAACTGACGCAGGAGTTCGTTCATCCACAGTATGGCCATGTTGGTCAGAGCACCAATACCAATGGAGATGATGTCCACCAAAGGGTCGCCAAGTAAAAGTCATAATTACCATTTTGATTGCATCACCAGTCGGGTCATTGTTGCCGTTTGATCTCCTTGTTGGCCATGTTTGGTCATCGTTTCATCATATTTGGGCGTGCGTTGATGTGCGCGTCGACATTTGGGCGATCGTTGTGGCACGTTTGGTGGCCCGGACCGGGGATTTCGGACCGCCCACGGGCAGACTGGGCAGACGCCATGTCCCTAGTCTCTTTTGGCTCTCGCCCTAAACCCGCTCAGGGTATCTCAGGGTCCTCTTGTAGGCAAGCTTCGGCAAATCAACTTGGAATCCCCCAAGAAGGAGACTCGGACGTTTCTGTCAAAGGCTCCATGTTTCAGAGGAGCAGCACGGAGATGAAACTGTGACTTTTCAGGCCTTGCGAACTATTTTGCCAGAATTCCCCTGCTTGTTCAAAAGGTGAGAGCTCCCCTGAGTATTTAAAAATTGGCTCTAGGGCATCATATATGACTTCTCTTGGGTGAAGCGGAGGAGGTGATTTTAGAGGCGTTCAGAGCATGGACGAGTAGGTCTGCTCTGGAAACTTCGCGCAACCAGGGAATTTGGGTTCGCCTTTTTCTCTGAGAACTCCCCTTCAAAGTTGATGTGCTGGAATAGGGGAACGCCAAACATGTGTAGCTTTTCATGTTTCTGCTGCGGCCCTGGAAAATCATTGGAGTGCTCCAATGCGGATGATCCAATCAGCAGGGCCAAGCCAAGCCCCTTAACCATGTTTGAACACCAATTAGCAACAAGCTCGGTTCTCTTTAAGGGGGCTGGGGTCCGGTTCAAGCCAGGAACCGAACCTCCACAAAAGACAGACCCCGACATAACCCCAATCAAAGTCTCATGGATCCAGCCGGCTCGTGTTTGCTCGATGGGACCCGAGACGAGCGTGGAACTGCAGGCTCTTCAATGCCGCGTTGCTCCCGGCCTTCGTCAGCTGCACAATTCCCGCCCTTCGCCTCGGAGTCGGAGTGCGCGCGCAAAAGCGGGCGGAGGGGGGGGGTGTTTGTTTTTTTTCTCTCCGAGGTTCCAGCATGGGCGTGGGTTTTCCGGGTTTCCCAAGTCAATCGACCTGGAAAGCACTGTGCGGTGTCCTTTCGTTGGCCCAGCTTTTTGTTTGGACTCACTTGACCGACTTGATCACAACTGAATCGACCTTTGACCACTTGGCTTCCCATTTTGGGCACCTATTTGGGTGTCCTTTTGAAAGGGACCCCCAAAATGTGGGTGTTCCTTTTGGTTTCCCTTTAAGACCAACCTGGAAAAGGGTTTCCCTCAAAGAAACACAGACCCATTTGTGACCCACACCCAAATCAACCCATCCTTCTGCCATCAAACGGACACCTCGAGGCGCTGTACGGCTGGGCCAACCGCGTGCTGGACATCGGCACCGTGCAGACAGGCGGCTTCGGATTCGGGCTCGAAGCTGGAGCCGAGAAGCAAAGTTGGTGGTTCCCAGCCGTCCGGTTTCTTAGGTTCTTCGGTTTTTAGGTGGATTAGTTTGGGGTTCCATTTAACCCACAAAAAAAATGCAAATTGAGCAGGGGATGTGAAGACAGCCTAGAGAAGGAGCAAGCTTTTAGAGCCGGGAAGTCTTGAGGATACCCTAGGGTTCAACCCCCATTAAAAGAATGGTTGACCCAATTTGGATGATGACAATTCTTAGGTAAACACTAGTGGTGTGTGAACCCCCATTGTGGGCCCCCTGCGTCTCCCATTGTGGGCCCCCTGCGACTTTCTTGGTGAGGGGTTCCGTTCAAAATCAAGCAGCGACAGCAACATGTGCCGTGTTCCATGGCCACTGGGTAAGAGGTGGTTGACAACCAAAGCAAGATGAACAGTCTAAGAACTGGTTGGTGGCGCAAATGATCATTTCACAACGTAGTATGCAGAACTGTCATTCCAACATGCCAGCCCTTTGTTTGTGTGCGTGCGTTCGTACGGCGTGCGTTCGTGCGTTCGCACATGAGCTGTGTGTGTGTGTGTGTGTGTGTGTGTGTGTGTGTGGGTGTCTTTGTTGCTTGCCTGCCTACCTGCTTGATTGCTTGCTTGCTTTCTTGCTTGCTGTGTTTTTGTTCTTTGGTTCTTTCTGACTTTCTTTCTTTCTTTCTTTCTTTAGTTGGCTGGTTGGCTGGTGGGCTGGTGGGCTGGTGGGCTGGTGGGCTGGTGGGCTGGTTGGCTGGCTTGTTGGTTGGGTGGCTGGATGGCTGGCTGGCGTGTTGGTTGGTTGGTTGGACCCCTATAGGAAGATTGTTGTTGTTTAACGCTTGGTTCACGCTCAGGGTTGTGGGATCAAGGGGTTTATCCCCACAGAATACAAGGAACTCTCCCTTGTTTCTATGGGGCGTTAGTCTTTGGGTGTCCCTTCTTGTCTTTGGGGGAGGGTTCCCTTACTAAAGTAGACTACCGGAAGAAAAAACAAGTCGGGTACCGTTATTCTGACCTCTCAAATCTGCAGGACCTAGTTGTTATATCACGGAAGTGGATTCCATTTCCCACCGCCCTGTTCACGGGCAACGCCTCCATTCCACCCGACCGGCCCCGAAAGGCGGCATCTCCATGAGGCGCGATTTGCGTCAGATTTGCGTCGATTCGCGTCGCAGGGGTTGTGGTTCGCTGAGAGCCCCTTTCGGGTTCTGTAGGGTTCCCTATAATTTTTTGGGGTTGCCTTACCCAGAGGGTCCAAGTACCTTCTAACTTCTAAGCATGTACCAAGACCCCTTTTGACCCCCCAAAAGCCATCCTCAGAAGGTACTTGGACCCTCTGGGTTAGGGCCCCCCCTTTTGCTTGGACCACCTCCCCCCCCCCCTAAAAGATTCCCTACTAGTGAGCAAGACGCTTCTCCTGCAAGTCCAACCTTCAGGGCGGGTCTAAGGTGAGCCACGTCCTCAAAACCCGGGTAGATGAAGGTTAGTAAGGGAAAGTCACAACCATTAATAGCTGCGGATATCTGCCTTCTTAATTCTTTACATTGTTCTGGGTAGACCATTTGAATACCGGGTTTTGATTATGACTCAGGTGAGTTTAGGGCTGGGATTTTTGTTGAGAACACCTGGCCATGGGTCAAAAGCCCGGTCAGCCCCCAGTGAACATCCGATTCAATCCAACCACTAAAATAGGTTCTAAAATAGGTGGTGAATTCACCTAGCAACCAAAATGGGATCCCATTGGTTTTGACCCACAGCCACTTGGAAGACTGCAATTGGCGGCCAAGCAAGCTCTTCAGAGTGTTGCTACGCTTGGGCCCAGGGTTGTGGGATCAAGGGGTTTATCCCCACTTCTGTGATACAAGGGAACTTCCTTTTTTCTATTTTTAAATCGGGGGTTGTTAGTTTTTGGGAGGCCCTTTTTGTTGTATCACAGAAGTTGTCATTTCCCACAGCCCTCCTTGGGCCCCTTCAATCCCAATGATTGTGGCTGGCTTGTCCAAAACGAAGCGACCTTTGGACCTGTTGGCTTCCTGGGTCTGGTCAAACAGGGCATGTGGGCCGGCTAAAATGTCACCAGCTGATTTTTCGAGGCACGGCAGACGGGTCTATCCTTTTTTAGGGCACCCGTGTTTGGGGGGTAGGGGGAAACCCAAGGAGCACCACCCTTGGGCATAACAAGAAGACGCCCCCCAGATGGGTTTTTTGGGGGTATCCTTTTGCGGGACGGTCGAAGTCCTCCGAAGCTTGGCTGACAGCTTGTTTGCTTGGGATGGTTCGCACGGGACATGCCAAGTGCTGCGAGTCGCACAACGCTTCGGCTATTTTGCACAGGGGGGAGTGTGGGGGTGTGGCAAAATGAGGCCGCCAAAATGGATCCACATCCCACCCCTGGCCCTGATTGCCGGAGATGCTGAAAACCCATTACAAGGTGTAGGGAGTTGAGGGAGGCAAACAAAAACAAATCTGGTGATTGGTAGGTGAACAGGTTGAAAGACCCGGTTTGGCTTCATCTTAAAAGGGCAGGTGTCAGGAGGCAGACAGGCGATTTGTGGGTCGACAGGCCCAGATAAGCTCCTTCGGGGTTTGGGGCCTTTTTTCAGGGAGGCTTCCGGAGATTCGGTTCCAGATCACTGGAGCATGGAGGAGAGATAGTCACTCGCCAAGCCCACGGGGCTTTTGGTGGCCAACAGTGAGATTTGTTTTGTTGGAGTGACGGTTTGAGGTGGAGTCCCACTATAAAATGACAGGGTGCGACAAGCGGAGAAGTTGGACATTTTCAAATTCCCCCTACGTAGTCAACCCCGCAAGGGGTTCATGCCATGGCCACGATTTCAGTAAAGCCCCAAAATGGGCTTTACTTTCCCTTTGGTGGCTGACAAAAACATTCTTCAAGCAAATTCCCCTTCGGCCTCCTTTTTTTTCCGCCGCGCGCGACGAGCGACGATTTGTCGCTGGGGGGGTTGTTTTTGTTTGTTTGTTTGGCCGCGGCGCCGGGGCCGGGGGGGGTCGTTTCTTCACTTCGCCAGGGAGTGGCACGGCTGGGTGGGCAGCGTGATCACCTTCACCATGGCCTGCCGAGTCTTCATCCCGCAGGCGGAGCATCGGGGGGGGGGCCGGGAATGGGGGTGAGGGGGTGGGGTTCCCTAAAGTTGACCCGATTTATATAACCCCCAGGCAGTAGTTAGGGGGTGTCCTTGGGTTTGGTGGGGAGTCCTCACTTTTGGACGGGAACACCCCCATGCAAATTGACTGGGGTTGATGGTTTTGGGGTCAACATGAAGGCCTCCTAAGGAACCGTACTGTGGATGGACCAAATCCTGCACTAGAATCCCCGGAATGAGTCGATTCTTTCCATGGTTTCAAAGTGGTGCAGGATTTCGTCCATCCACAGTAGGGAACCCTGGAGAACCCCGAAGAACCCGCAAGGGGCTTTCAAATCGGATCGGTGGATCGCTTGGGATTGGTTGGGATCGGATTGCTCGATTTGGTCCCGTTTTGGGGGAACTGGCCGTGGCGGAATGGAATTCATGACAGGAGGGCGACGTGGTTTGAATAGGCCGTGTTATTATTATTATTATTAGTGTTATTATTATTATTATTATTATTATTATTAGTATTATTATTATTAGTATTTGTATGATTATTATTGTTATTATTATTATTATCATCATTATTATTGTTATTGTTATTATTATTGTTATTATTATTGTTATTGTTATTATTATTATTATTATTTATTGTTATTATTATTATCATTATTATTATTATTATTATTATTATTATTATTATTATTATTATTATTATCGTTATTATTATTATTATTATTATTATTATTATTATTATTATTATTATTATTATTATTATTATTATTATTATTATTATTATTATTATTATTATTATTATTATTATTATTATTATTATTATTATTATTATTATTATTATTATTATTATTATTATATTGTTATTATTATTATTATTATTGTTATTATTATTGTTATAATAATATGTTTTTGTTTTTAAGTATTTTTGACCAGATCGGTCTTGGGCCGCTATATGTCTTGCAGCTTGATAGGTGTCGGTTTTAGCTAGTCGCTGGGCCTAGCAGTTTATTTGACATGGAAGGCAGAAGAAACGCAGGTTTCCGCCAAGCCCGAAAGCGCTTCTCCCAGGGAGACACGGGGCATTTTTGCAAACTGGCCATGCGGATGTATCGAACCGCACCGAGCTAGTGGAAACCAAGTGTTTCAAGCAGACCCTGGGCCCCAAAAATGGAAGCCACCTGCTTGGCACCTGGCAACTGGTAATGACCTGGGGCTGGGCACTTTGATTCAGGGCCAGCTGTGTATCCCAGGCATTTCAGAGCCCTGGTGGCTTCTGGAGACACCCCCCCGTACTGGAATTGGGGGAGGGAAATGGATGTGCGGAAAGATCTCCAGTGCTGTTCCATGTTCCATTTTGCGGGAAGACTCGAGATATGGAATTGGGTCCCTTCCCTCCATCCTCCCCGAAAAGGCAGGAGGGTACGGAGCTGAGCCAGAATCACACTAGGGGACTTGGAGAGTAGACAGCTTTTTGGCCGCCGGCCGCGCTTTTGAGATAGGGATCGAGTTTCTCAAACTCGCCCTTATTTTTGAATTCCCCCCCCCCCCCCCCTGCAAAACCACCCCAACCCCCCTCCCCCGATTCTTTCCCAACTCGGATCGCCCGCGGATCGATCGCTTTCCGCCGGTTGGGTTGCGAGGTGCCGGACCTCCTCGGCACCTGCTGCCGCCGGTGCTGCCGCTACCGCAAGGCGCTGGCTTCGCGCTTCGCCTTCGGTTTCGGGGGTTCCCGGGGAAAAAGTGGCGGTGGGTCGGCTGCATGTGGGAACCGATTCGGGCTGCGCGTTTGCTCTTTTCTAAATGTGGAGAGAAAGTGGGTGGAGAGAAAGTGGGTGGCTTCTATTTTTTTGCTTTTGGCGGAGCTTGGGGTGGGTTGCATGTGGATTTTCTGAAAACATGGGTGGCTCGTCTTTGCCCGAGGCTCGTCGCACCATTTGTGGTTTTAAAGGGAACATTGGGGGGTACCGTAGAAAGAACAACCTTTTTGAGCCTGCGGCTTTCTGGATGCGTTATGTTTTATTTTTGAGGGCGAGCGGGGTTGATTTAGAGATGGACATCAACATGAATCTAGGGGTTGATTCCACATTCTTTTCAGCCATCGTTTTCAAAAACCGATCGCCATTTCCCCAGGGTCTTTGGTGGTTTAGAAAGATCCGGGTCCCAAGAATGGAATTGGCAGTTACCCCTAGAATGAAACCTCTGTAACTGAGTCCCATCGTTTGAGACGAACTTGTTTTTGAGAGGCTCGTTGTTCCCTTTTCAAGTTAGATGTGGTTTTGGAGGTCCAATGTGAGCGTGCACAACTCTTCTCAAAACATGCGACTGTGACTTTGCTTCCATGGTTACTTCCTTTTGGAGCTTGTTGAGTGATGCTTTTCAGGCTGGAAATGGAAATCAGCATGTGAGGCTCCAATGTTGAAGTGATTTTGCAATCATTGTTCGGCTTCCTCTTTTGAAGCGAGCCCAGTGATGTGGATACCTTTCGCTGAAAGATTTTACAGTTTACGGTTCACCAAATCAATTTGCCAGAATCAAAATTCACGTTTGGCCGTGTTGTTTTGTTTTGGAGGGACCCTATTTTTTGGGGTTAAAAGGAAAACCAAAAGTTGACACCAGGATTCGCCATGAGACCCATCTTGGCAAAAGAGGCGGCGGCCAACCCTTCTCAAGCCGGAGGCGAAACGTGGGCCAATTTTTCCATCTGCTGGAGGAATGTTTTGTTATTTTCCCCTGTTGGCTTTAAAGGTAAAAGCCATCCCTTCCATTTGCTTAAAATGTTTTGTGTTTTTCCCCTGGCTTTAAAGGTAATCCATCCATTTCCGGTCTTCATGGCTGGTCTTGGAACCCTTTCGAAGCCCCTGGAACCAGCGGCCCAATTCCGGGGCCCGACCATCCGAGGGCCAGCCGAGTGGACCATCCGTCGGTCTTGTGCCAACAGTACTGGGTGGCGTTCGAGGGACGGAATTTGGGTTGAAAAAAACATGATTCTGAGCAGGGCTCCTTAAAAGATCTCCATCTTGCAACCATTTGAGTTACATGTGGCTTTTTGAACACCAAAATAACGGGGAACCACCATTTACAAGTTGCAATGTTCAGGTGTATAATGTAAGGATCCCTGCTGAAGGATCCTTGCTCATAGTGTGGAAACGGACCCCCGGCGGCCCGGATAAGTAGAACCTTTTTTTTCCCAGTTTCCTGGTGGTTTGGATTGGTGATCGGTGGTTTGGATTTGGTTTTGAACCCCTGGCTCTTGTAGGGGGTAATTTCGGGTAAATGGGCCAATTCACAACCAAACCACCGGGCTCCAAACCATCCAAACAACGAGGTGCCCCTAGCACCCGCACTCTTCCTGTTAATGCTGTGGATGGTGACGCGAAAACGCACCGTTCAGAAGCCCTGGAAGCTGTTTCGATCCCCCAACGAAAATGCCAACAACCAGTGGTTGCAACCATGGGTTTCTTCCGCGCTGCGAAATGGCCTTCGCTTCCGTCCGCAGTAGGACGGGTCGAGTCTGATGTGCGGTTGTGATTGGCTCAGGCAATGCGAGCCATCTCGCAGGCTGAGAGGGGGGGAAGTCTGTGAGGGGCTGGGACAGGCTCCCTATAAATACAATTTTTGGACCAGAATCAGTCAAGTGCTGCGCTTTAATGGTTTGCACAGCACGTTTGATTGCGCAGTCATTGGACGATGATTTTGTTGGGGGGTATTAGGAACCCCGGCGTGCAAGCCTCTTCACTGGGAGTGGGTGTTAGACAGGCGATTTCTAAATTAATTCAAAGGTCGGAAGTGCGAACAACATGTGTTGCGGGGAGGATCAGGCTTTCCCTTTGCGACCCCCAAAATGTTCGGTGAAAAATTGGCTTTCCTGTGCACCAATCTGAAGAAGGAACCCTCAAAGTCAAATAACGCACACACACACACACCCAATAGAAGCAACCAGTAGAGCAGGTGCTACACTCACTGAGTGTCCACCTTCGAGTTGTGGTTTTCACTGAGCTAGCTGTGGGTTTTGTTCGGTGTCACACATCACAAAGGCTCTCAGGTCTTAAGAAACCATTTGCGTATGTGTCAAAATAGGGGGACCGGAACCCAACATGGAATTTAGTTGTCCTTTTCGTTTCAGTTTAACCAACCTGAAAGCACAACGCTGATCCCAGATTAAAAGTCCCCCCCCCCCTCGCCTATTGAGGGAGTCCCTTTTTAGTGGGGAGTGCTTTCTTCTCCGGGGACACCCCATGGCTAGCTGGGGGGATTGACGGATCGGGGGTCAACATTGCTCTCAAGTAAACACACCCAAATTATGTTTCCTTTTTTGCGCCGGAGCAAGACCCCGTATCGGAGGTTTTGTTTGATGGGTCAAGAGCTTTGACGCAGGTCGTGGCACCCGGATCGCCCCAGAAAGTGTTTAGCTTTTTTGGACTCATATTTTTGTCCGTTGATCCTCAAAGCTGGGCTTTTGGGAATGACAGTTTTCCCATTGAATCTGAGCCTCCAAGAGGTCAGATCTCGGCTACAGCGGCTATGAAATTGACAAAAAACCACCAAGAGTTTAACGTTCTTGCAGAAAGGCTAAGACCAGCCCAGAGAAGATCAAGGGTCCTGTCGTTTTGCTCAAACAAAACGACCCACTCAGGCCATCAGTGTGTTGTGAAGAAAAAGAACCTGGCACTGTCCCCTTACCCCGGCCACGGGAGTGCTAGGACGATCTCAAGAACCTCTACGTCAATCCAGAGCCCCTGGCTGAGTGCGAGCGACGCGCAAGAGACGCACCTTCCCACGGTGAACTTCGGATTTTGGAGCACCTTTAGAAATGATACTCAGAGAAATCGTACCCCCTTCCAGCAATGATGGAAGCTGACGGGAAATGCTTGGGAAGACTACTTTGCTTTTGGTGTAGCCCCAAAAACGTCCATGATTCTGTAGAAACAGGGTAAACTGAGCTGAATCCGGCCTAAAACTGGAACCAGCCCACCACGTCCGTCAGAAGTCGCCATTAAATATCTATAGTACATGTGTATAATATGCAGCAACCAACGCGTAGACGAACATTGTTAGTCGTCTACTGCCAAGGAGGACATGGGGGACAACCCAGATTTCCCACAGGACGACCACCCAAAACGTCCAGGTCCTATTTGTGTGGACAGGATCATGTGTAGCCAACATGTAAAGCAGCCAACCAGGCATGTTGTCAACATACTCCCTCATTAAAGGAAGTTTAGTTAGAAAACATCCGTAATACAAAAAGTAGAGTCAGACATGCGAAACACGCGAAGGGTACCTGTGTTCAGCGTGCGGTCTCGCCACGGTCTCGCCACGGGCTCGGAATGTTGCCCACTGTAATGCTCGTGCAGACGTTTTCGGAGGTCCATTTTGTGTGGCAGGCGCAGCACTTTGGCAGCCTAAAATGCAGATTTTGTGGCAGGCGCAGCATTTTGTGCCCGTGGCAGGCGCAGCACTTTCGCAAGGTCGAGCGCAGGCGCAGCACTTTCGCAAGGTCAGGTACAGATGTCGTGGCAGGCAAAGCGGTTTCGCAAGGCCAAGTACAGATTTCGTGGCAGGCGAAGCACTTTCGCAAGGTCAGGTGCAGATAGATAGATAGATAGAAAGTAAGCAAGAAAGAAAGAAATACAGAGAAAGAGAAAGGAATAAAAAGAAAACAAAGAGAAAGAGAAAGTGCAGATAGATAGATAGAAAGAAAGTAAGACTGAAAGGAAGTCAGAAAGAAAGTCAGAAAGAAATAAAGAAAGAAGGAAAGAAAGACAGACAGAAAGAAAGAAAGAAAGAAAGAGAGAGAGAGAGAGGGAGAGAAAGAGAAAGACAGAAAGAAAGAAAGAAAGAAAGAAGGAAAGAAAGAGAGAGAGAGAGAGAAAGAAAGAGAGAAAGAAATAAAGAGATAGAGAGAGAAAGTGAAAGAGAACTATAAAGTGCAGATAGATAGCTAGATAGAAAGAAAGTAAGAAAGAAAGACAGAAAGAAATACAGAAAGAAAGAAACAACGAAAGATATCAGGAGCCACTCGAATGGGGGAAAGGTAGGGCACTGATCTTTTGCATACAGTGTGTTGAGGCCAAAGATATACTTACGGTAGGGCGGTCCCTGTTTTAAACTCCCCCGGTATTGACTCCTTCTGTTAGTTTGGGATTGTCTTTTGGTGCACAGCGTGTGGAGGCCAAACATACACTCTTCGGGAAGAGGAGAAAGAAAAGGAAGGAAGGAAGGAAAGAAAGAAAGAAAGAACGAAAAGTAAAGAGACAAAGAAAGAGCACAACCCCACAAAAAAACAAGTCAAGCTCTTCCTATAGGCACTTTTCTCGCTTTAGAAACTTCCGCCCACCAGTTTTGCCGGCTCTACTTGTATCATACGGGCCTTCTATGACAATGCATGGCCTTTTCGGATCTGGCGACACTTGCGCGACATTTGGTTGCAGCCTGTATGCCTTTTTCTCAAGTCAGCCTCGACACCACTGAGTCTTGCAACGCCGCTTCATCTCCGGGGAGAGTAACATCAATATGACTTGAGGCTGAGGGCAAAAAGTTTGCCCCCTCAACCCCCCCCCCCCCATGATACTCTGGATGGACGAATTCTTGCACAACGTTGAAACAATGGGAAACCATATCGTTTGTTCGTATTCACAGGGGAATCGACTCATTCCAGGGTTTCTTAGGTGGTGCGAACGGATTTCATCCATCCACAGTATTTGTTTCAACCATCGGTCTCTTTAAAAACCGATCTGTTTCCCCTGGGGTTCTCTCCCTGGAAAGAGTGGAAATGGAAGTGTCCCCTAAAGCAGCAAGCTTCTTATTTGCCACAACATTGCTCGTCGCAAACAGTGGCCAAAGTTCAGGAAGTTAGGAAGTTCAAATCTGGACCTAAACAAAGACGAGCCAATCACCTTGGTTTCATGGGTTTTATTTAGCCTTGGGAATCGGGCTGCGCCGAGGTTCCGACTGTCGGAAGGCTTCGCCGGGGCCTAAGGCGCCAGGCCATCGTGTCATACTGCGGCTCTTTGCCCCCCCTCCCCTCAATATATGTATACGTAAGCAATAAGCAAAGGAATATGTAAAGTAAAATCCAATCTTGAGACCTCAAAAAGTGGGTTTTGGAGGTCCAAGGTCTTCCAAATGGAGATTTTAGACGCCTTACGCTTCGAAGAGTCTGACGGCTAGCGGGAAAATTGAGCTTCCGGGATGCTGAAGAGGGGCCGCGCAAAGGTTGTTGATTTTACGTTGCCATATTTAGTATCATGGGGGCTGGGGGGTAGGGAGGTGGAGGGGAGAATAAGCCCTTAAGAAGGGCGTAGCAAGGCCCTAATAAGGGCTTAATACGGGCTTATTTGCACCTCTCGCCCCCCCAGCCCCCATGATACCCAGCCATCTATTTAGGTTTTTTGGTTTTTTAGGGTTAAGTTTCCTTTGTCCTAGGCGACGGTTCAAGGAACGTGAACACTTTTGCTTCATTTGAGACCAGTCAGCGCGGGTGCCAAATCTCATGCACGAAAAACTATTCAATTCAGTAGACAGGACCGTGTTTACGCCCCTTCCAAGATGAGACTAGTTTACAAGTGGCTAGTCATAATCTTCTATGTTTGGACAAAGTGCTTCCCGTGACCTCACAGACCGGACTTGCTGGGGTAGTTCCAAGCGTTGACATGCGGCCATGTTCTGGACAAATGTGAACAAGCTAGAGATAAAACGAGAAAGACCCCTTACTTGCTGATTCCTTACTTTAGGTTTGTGGATTCGAACAGGGTAGTCCTTTGTAGACTCCCTCAAAGTGCAGGTTTGCTTTTGGAGGTATGCCAAACTGGGCCTCAAAAGGGGGTCAACAGGACCCTGATATGTAGTGATCCAGTTCAGAGTTCGGAAGTGAGAGGTACTGACCCTTGAGCCCACTTGCAGGTAATCCCTAATTGGCGGTTGGGGATTGAACTCTACGTGGGTGAATGGGAAGGGAGGCTGAGGCCTCCATGGTAGTTGACTCTGGATGTCGTTGGTGTCCAAATTAAATGGCGAACAAAAATTCAATCAACCCGGCAACTTCACTACTGTGGATGGTTGCGAAATCCATTTCGCACCACCTCAGAAACCATGGGAAGCCATGTTTTGTTCGTATTTGCGTAGGGGAACCGAATCGTTGCAGGATTTCGTCCATCCACAGTATGCAGTCTGAGTTTCCCCATGGCCAAAACAAAGATCAATCCACAAACGCAATTTCCACATACAGGTTCGTTTTTTCGGGGACCCCCACAAGTACATCTTTTATTCCCGGGGAATTGAACGAGGGAAGCTCAAGTGGATCCCTGGGCCCATAGGCAGAGCTCACCGTCACCGCGAGCATCGCCATGATCTTCGGCCCGGCCTTGCCCCTTCTGCGCCTCGGCCGGGATCCGGTCCGAGATTCGAGCCGAGCTGAGGGGCGGGAGCTGCGATCCCGGGTCCCGTTCACCTCAGCCAGTTGTCCCAAAACATGTTTTTTTTGGCGGTGGTTGCCCCAAGTTGCTGCTTTTTTCTGTCACTGTTGCTGTTTTTTGGGTAAAGTTGATGGCAAAAAGCAGCAACTGGCGATCCAGGTGTCGCTTTGGGCCCATAGAGCTGGTTCGCTTGTCAGGACACTGGGAATCCTGGCTTACACGGGGATCTCAGCATCTCTTCATTTACCGAAAGGTGGGGGCAGAAGGCAGCTGGGCAGTGGCGCAGAATTCCAATTCCCGTTCGGCCATCTTCCGTTGCCCAAAAAATCGCATGGGCTTGTCTCCGATAGGGGAACCCCTAACATGAGGTGGTTTCCTTTGGATGTCCCTTCAAACTTGAAACTCTCCCAAAACGGGTGCCCATAGGTGTCCTTTCTGTTGTTGTTTTTTGCCAGAAAATCTAGATGGTCCTGGTTTACCTAGAGGTCTTTCCTCATCTATCTATTTCCCCTAGAGGACACCTATGCGGGTCCCCCCCCCAAAAAAAAAGAAGAAGAAACACAAACAAAAATATATGGGTTTCTGTTCCCTTTGTTTTACTGACATGTGAATCGAACTGGCCCTGCGCCAGCCGCGTCAGGCTCAGGGTCTGTTCGGCCGGCTCAGGGCCTACTGCCCCTAGGTCCCCTAGGTTTGGGCTTGTTGAATTGGGGGCAGCGGGGCGTAGAGCATGGCGATGAGGACCAAGTGTTGCCGCATGCAACTGACCTTGAGCTCAGACATTTTGCGCTTGCAGACGTGTGCCCTTTGATTGACATGACCTGCTTGCTCGGTTGTGTTTGCTCAGCCATTAATCACGTCTGCAAGCGTGCATTATTTGCTGCTGGGCCAGAACCCATCCAGTCCATTGATGAGCTGCTGAAGCTCACGGAGGAGGACTTGGCTCAGAGCATGACGCAGATCAGCTTGGATGGGTGCTCCGCGGCGTGACGAGCCTGGAAAGTGTCCACTGTACTCTATGACACGATCAGGACACGGTGGCTCGGTGCCGCCTGACCCCACTCCAGTTCCCGACCAACAGCCAGCTCAGGGAAGTGCTGCAACTCCTCAGCCTGCCGCCCCAGCACCTATGCCGGCTCCGACTCAGTCAACACCAGCCACTACCACAACGCCACCCACGACACCGGAGACCCAAAACCCGGTGCTGGCAGCCAGGACAGTTGGCGAAAACAGCTCAGCCAGGACTGGTGGCTCTTGGCAAGATGACTGGGACAGCCACACATGGGAGGAAGCTCACTCCGGAGATCCCTGGTCAGGGCTCAGACCCCTGGAGCCCGGACCAGCCAGCTCAGGGCGCCATCTGACCCAACCACGCGGCGCGGCGATTACCGTTGGGTCGATGGCATGATCCTCTGCGACTTGCCCTGCTCCAGTTGCTCCACTGGCACTTGCAGCAGGAGAGTCTACGGGCCCCTGGAGCTCGACAAGCACCGAGGACACGAATGCTACCGCTCAGAGCACAAGTGAGGCAAGGCGGCTCAGACTAGCGGGCAAAAGCTGCTCAGACTAGCCGCTCGAGGAGGGGAGCCCTAACAGGTCGCCTTCCAACCCTTTTTCTCTACTGAACTGACCTGGGCCCCTCCCCTTCTCTGTGAAACACCCACGTAAGCACGCTCAGGCAACTAAAAGGGCTGGCCAAACTCATGCAGGCGGATCTGTTGCTCAGGGCCACGCGCTGGCCCTGTGTGAAATTGAGCCATGTTCTGTCACCGCTGTGCTGACAAACCTACCGGGGTGTGCAGGACACACTCCGGAAGTCCTGCCAGGTGACAGCCTCGATTTGAGCTCAGTCTTGCACCAAATTGTGACTGCCTGATTCTTGCGAGAGGTCCTCCCTGCTAAAACCGCTTGTTTTGGATGAGGCTGAGCCGCGCTCAGCTCAAACAGGGATGGGAAATGGAGCACGTCGAGTCAGCTCCGAACTGAGCCGCGCTCAGTCGTACATTTCTCAAAGAAGAGGGGCACCGCGTGCCGGCAGGGCCTGCCCGCAAGGCACGCCCAGGGCACTGCGTGCTCAGCCCACTGGGTCCGGCTCAATCAGTGACACAGCGGGCGCGACACAGGCTCAGACCCCGCGGGTCGGCCACCAAGGCACCGCGTGCCTTGCTCTGCTCAGTCGCACTGAGCAAGTCAGCGCCAATTATTCACATTTTTTCGGCTTGGCAATGTTCTGAAGCTCAGCGGGTTCAGTCAAGTCCCGCGAGGTCTTCTGATTTGGGCAACCACGCTGAGCCGACATTTGCGACCATTTCTGGCACCGCTGTTTGCGGATTTACACAGCCCCCCTGGAGCGTTGTTCTCAGTTGACCACAAACTATGGGACAAGTTCCAGGCGGCCTTGGACGCCAAGGCAGTGCTGACGCAAGAGGTGGCGGGCCTTTGGATTTTCAAAGGTGCCCAGAGCGCGCAGTTCCCTTCGACCTCCAAGCACGGTGTCAGTTCTTGCTCAGTGTGCGCTCTGACCGCATTCCCTCCATCCTTGGGTTGCCCTTTGGTGATGCATATCGTGGCTTCTGCTAGTCGCAACACTCAAGACATTGAGCGACACTCAACCTGCTTGCCACCGCACTGCGTATTCTGCAGGGCGAAGGGTGGAGGCAAAGCCACTAATGAGGTGCTGCAAGAGCCTCCGCCAACCATGCTCATTGTCGCCACGCCAGGATGTCTCCAAGTAGGGCCGTACCAATTTCAGATCGGCCCACTTGGCCGGTTCAGCAGGGGCCTGCACAAGGTGCTGGAAGCTAGACAGCGTGGACTCTGACGGCCATTTTATCCGCGTTCTGCTGGGCATCTACCATGCTCTTGCTACGCAGAGGGTCACGTTTGGCACACAGGGGCTTTTTGGGACACCAACACGCAGGACGCACAATACACTGCAAAGCCGACATCTTCCCACTGCCCCCTCAGTCCAAGCTACAGTGGGTGCGAGTTCGCGACACGCATGCCAAAGAAATTCGGCTCAGAAAGCCAAGCACAGAAGCTCTGCATTGGCTTCAACAGGTGCTGCATCTTGACCGCATGACCTCCCTGCGAGCAGCCCCACATATAGCATGCTTGGCCGCGGCAGATGCATGCGCAGACGAAAATAGTGTGGGCATTGGAGGATGGGCCGTGACCAGCGGAGATGTGGGAGGAATGGCCTTTTCTGACCAAGGATGCTCAGAAATACATCACTTGCTTTGAAGCCCTGGCACAGTTGGCCTTGGCGCATTGCATTCACGCCAAGTGGCGATGCCAACACCTGGCCATCAAAGCCTTCACAGGCTCGGACAACACAGGAGCGGAAGCTGGCATCAACAAACTTTTCACCACCATCTTTCCACTGCGCAAGTTCGTCAAACTCATAGCCACTTGGGCGCACAGACACAACGTGCAGCTGTCAGTGTCAGACATTGCCGGGCTCAACCGGGGAAATCTCAGCAGATTTGCGAATCGCACGGCTTGCAGAAAGCGTTTCAGTCCGCATCTGCTTGCAACTGGACATGAGATCCAGCTGCACCCTCCGGACCGACCATGTTCTCGATCACCCCTTCTTCAGCCAGGTGCGCACCTTTCAGGGCCGTGCGCGTACAGCATGCAAGACAAGCTTCAGCGCACTTGCAGGTGCACGCGAAGCACTCCTTTTCTGTGCTGCCACCGTGCCGCTAGGGGCTAAAGAGGGGGTTACTCTCACAGAGGTAGCAGCTGGACCGCGTTCTGCACCGAGCTCAGACCTCTGCATACCCAAGCAACACCTCTGACAAAAAAGGGGTTGCTTGTGCTCAGCTGCCCTGGTGTCAGATTCTCGTATTAAGGCAGTAGGATCAGGAGCAGTGCAGGTTCTGTAAAACAACACAAGAACAAAAAACAACTATGCGGTATGCGGGTTCTCCCCCCCCCCCCAAACAAAAAACCAAAGAACAGAAAAACAAAACACACAGAATTTGTATCACTGCTTGAAGAACTCCATGGCGGGGTCTCTTTTAGGCATGGCTGGCCCTTGGTTTTTGACCCCTTGGCCCGGAGCTTTTGCTCAGGCACAAGGGAGCCACCGAATTTTAGGACGCGACACGCCAGCCTGGCGCGCCCCCTGCTGGGAGAACGAAACGTACTGTACCAGACAAGGTACCTAGAGACAAGACCATATGTGCCGCTGAATTAAGTTGCCCATTACATATTTGTGATGTGGTATTCTGGGCTAGTTGCATAGGTATCCTTTTAGGTCGGTTTGGTTGAACAGAATGTGTTTGACTGGTTTCAGCAGGGGTCGATGTTTGATTTACCAGTGGCATGCATGCACTTTTTCCAAGAGTCGTATGCTGATTTGGAGCCATACCTTGTGCTTTTTGAGGCTACCCTTTTTAACGGTTGGTTTAGAGGGAAGCCACGAGTTGACCTAAATTGCAGTTTCAGCCCCCCCCCCAAGTTCACACATGTCCACATTGTATATATTGCTTGAAAGGTCATCGCCCTTGCGGGCGATTTGCTTTGTTGTTTTTCGGGCGCGCGCCGTTTTTTCCCCGAGGAACGTCCTGGCAGCCGCATCCTGCTTCACACGCCGGATCTCTTGGGCTTTCGAATCGAAGATCAGCGTTGGACCCTTGTTACGCGCGGGAAACAAACAAAAAAACGCAAAAAAAAACAAACAAAAAGCACACTAAAAACAACGGACCCGGGTCCCGAGTGGCCTCCTTTTTTACGGAGTTACCGTGGACATGGGAACAGCTGGGTGCTGCGCGGGATTTGTCGTCTTCGCGTTTCATCCATAACTGGTGCAATAGTGTGTGAATCCGCTGGGTATGTACTGTAAACATTTTGTTGAGGCGACCCTTTCTAAGGTTGTTGAAAGGGGCTTCAAAGGGAGATCGCCCAATTGTTGTGCTCATTTGGAGCAAGTTCCACATCAGATCGAATGGAGCAAACGAGGCGCACTGCTCATAGTGCGTCTTTCAGGGAGCCAAATGGTGCTGTTAAATAACTTTAGACGCTAGACGAACCTAATCAGAGAAATCCCGCCAAGACAAACCCATTCCCCACGAAACAAGGGGACCTTTCCTGATCAGTACAGTTCTACCGAACTGGACATTACCGACCGTGAGCGACCGTTGATATCATGTTGTCCCCCTTTCATGTTTGATTTTGGTGCGGAACCGACGTGTCCATTGCAAAGTAAGGCACAGTTGCACGAAGGATTAGAAAATCCCCAACCCCTTAAAACTGGAATTGGGGGAGGGGGGTGACCCGTGGAATTCCATTTATGGTTCCATTTTCTTTATTTGTGGGGGAAGAGTAAATACATGGAATTGGGGGACCCCCCACCCCCCTCTCCCGCAAGGTAGGGGGGATATTAGACAGTAATATTGTCAGTGAAACTACAGGAGTCCCTATAGTTCTTCGGTTTTCTCCGCTGTTTCAATCATCACCTTTCTGGCCCAAAGGCGATTGCTTCCGCATGTGACCAGGACTTGTAGGGGATCACAAGACCAATTACAGATGCGACCCAAAAGTTCCAGTGGTTTTAATTTGGACTTGGCATTGGGAGACGAGTCAACCGACCTTTTGGTGTCCTTCATCAAAAAATCGCTTGGGTTTGGGACGGTGAACCGCTAGAACTTGAGACCCGTTGTGGTCCAAAGGTTTTCTTCGGTGCAGTTTGCCAAGGGATGTTGGGACTGAACAACTTTTTGCCCCTTGATGGGTTTCCCGAAGCAAACCACTAAGAGCTGGTCACTTTTAGCAGGGCTTAGCAGAAAGCAACCGAGTTTTTTGGATCATATTTGTCCAGCCTGCGCGGTTCCATGATTGGAACGAGGGCAGCTGTGGGCCTATATGCAAGATTTCGGATCGTGCCCCTTGCCCCAAGCGATACTCTGCTTTGATTCATGTTCTACTAGGGAATGCAGAGAGCAGCAACAATTTTGAGGGATACGCCCCCCAGTGCGAAACAAACCCGCACTGGAGCTTTAGCACCCATGCTTGTCTTGGTGGTTCTCAGCAATCCCCTTAGTCTTTTAGGATTTAGTTGGTTTAGTGGCGGTTTCCATTTCACCCACTAGAAGTTCAATGTTTAGCAGGGGATGTGAGGGCCACCAACTTTTCCTCCGCCCAAGGCTATGTGGTGGACTGGTACATCTTCCTGCGTCACTCCCGGCGCCCACCAGTCTTCGACGAGATGATCGCGCGGGTCTGCGCGCGCCCGGCGAGTCTTTTTTTTGGGGGGAGACATGGGCGCGCGGTTGACATGTTTTTGCCCCCAACAGCTGAAAGCTAAGGCTAGGTCCCCCGTAGTGCCCTTTTACGGTTTCTTTTTTGGTTGGGAGGGTTCCCCTTCTAAGATAGACTACAGAAAAAACAGGGTACCCTTATTCTATCCTCACTGGAGGACCTAGAAGGGGTCTTTGGAGTGGTTCGGACTGGGGCCCAGGATAGGATTCATGCCGGAAAACCTCAGGGGTTGCTGTTGGGGATGCCGCTCCCTATTGATAAGCTGGGGTTGATTCATCTGCGGGCAACATTCGGCGAGATCCGAGGCCACCGGGAGACCAAGATCGTTTTTTCATGTTTTTTTTTTGTTTGGGAGGCCTTGTCCACAGCCATGCACCGACGCCACGCCCCTCGACCCCTCGACCCCTCGAGCCCTCGACCCCGCGGCAGGTGAACCATTTGCTCTTTGCGTTGGTCTTCCGATCCGCCCGGACGCCGAGCGTCCGAAGTGAGCGGATGCGGACTGAAGGTCGCTGCGCAACATCCAGCGAGCCGGGGGTTTACCAACTAGGTCCCCCAGCGATTGGTGCCCTTTGACCGTTTCTTTTTTGGGGTTTTGGGAGGGTTCCCACACTAAAATAGACTAGAGAAAAAAGATCGGGTACCCTTATTCTAACCTCTCTACTGGAGGACCTAGCCAACTTGGCGGATGCAAGTGGGATGTTTAGGCTCCGTTTTGACCCCTTTAAAAGTTGCTTTTTCAGGGCACCCCAAGTAATTGTCCCAGTCAGCCAGTGCTGAGATACGCTCGCCAGAGAACCGAGGATTGCTGAATGAGAGGGAGGCATTTGCGAGGGACATCTTGACTTTCAGGGGGCAACACCCCGGTTTGTCCAGGTTGACGAAGCAGGAGTCGACATGACAGACTCAAAGTCTAAGCACCTAGAAGCTATAGGTGTGTCTTGTGTTGAGAGTACGTGTTTTTTTTTTTTTTTTTTTTTTTTTGTGTGTGTGTGTGTTTTCAAGGGACACCAAAAGGAAAGCCCGCCATTTGGATGGATTTGGATGGGGGGTTTCCCGCACCCGCTTCCACCAGATCTGCCACCCAGGGTCAGACCCCAGTTGCCACGAGGGAGAGAGGAGGCTTTTGGCTCCGTTTGGTTCGAAGTCCATTCTTGGATCTTTCATGGGCGAGCAAGTGAAACCACGAAGCATCCTTTCGAAAGCAAACAGAGACGCCGTAACCTTGAGGCCACCAGCATCTTGGTGTGGGTGGACCCGCTGGGGAGCCCAGATGAAGGAAAAGGCTTCGATGGTTAGGGGTGCGAAATGTCTCATTTTAGAAGCACCCGTTGCGGGGGGCATGGAGCGAAAACCCAAGGACACGCAGGGCTTCAACTATGTCCTTTATTTTTGGGGGGCAATTTGTTGGGGGGGTTCCTTTGAGTGATGTGTCGGAGCCGCCTCCTTAAAGTGGTCGGACATAGATGTTCATGTAAATCTCCCTCTTGGTGGACCGCACCCAGGGTCTATTTCGTTTGGTCAAGGTCCAAGGTCCACCGTGCTTTTTTTTTAGCTGGCTCGGGGAAGAACACCAAGCCGGAAACCGGAGTTTTCTGCCGAGAGTCTATGGCTGAACCCTGGACGTCCACGGAATATGGCTCACCAATTCACGTGGGTAGCCTGACGTTCGGGTGGGTCCCGATCAGGTTTGTGAAGAGGTGCTCAGGGAAGGGTTCATTCCCTCGGGGGGCCCCTAAAAGCACCGCCCGTTTCTTGGGCTCCTTCCATTTCCGCTGCCTTTCTGCAAGGTGAAACGACTGTGTCAGGGGCCAATCAAAACAAGCAACAGTTGGATGGGCTTTTCTCGGGGTGAAAAGGGGAGGGTTGCCTCGAGCCGCGTTTTACCCGAGGACCATAGGTGTCCTTCTTGGTTCATTTGGCTGAAAAATAGAAAGCGAGTCCTGGTTTACCTGTTGGCTCAATCAACTACCTCAAATCCATTGATTTTCCCAAACAGGACACCTGCTAGGTGCCCTTTCCTACCCTTTTTGGGTTGGGAGGGTTCCCCTACTAAAAGTGAGTACCCTTATTTTTGGTTGGGAGGGTTCCCCTACTAAAATAGACAGAACAAAAATCGGGTCCCTTATTCTAACCTTGCTACTGGAGGACCTAGCCCATGCCGAGGACCCTCTTTGATTCGTCGGTGCCTGGCTGCCGGCGCCCGAGCGCGAGTTGGAGCGATGGCTGGAGATCTCGCTTTTTTCTATGTGTCAAAACTAGGGACCGTCAGCTGGTTGTTCTCATGTAAATATGGACTCAAGGGGATGTTCCTTGATTGCACCCTGGGGAAGACTCAACATGGTTTCCAATTCACAAGGCGTCACTGGCAAATGACACAGACGACACACTCATTCGCAACAGGGTGCATACTCCCGAACACCTACTTGAGCAACTGACAAACGAGCGGCAATTAGTATCCTGTTGGTTTGGGAGAACACGCGGACAAAGAGTTCTCGCGCAAATCTAATATGTCCGTTCACGACATGGTCATGGCACCCAGAAAAGCCGCCGGAATCTTCCGGGACGCGGAAAATACCATGTAGCTGCCGGTGGCTCTTGTGAACACCTGGGGGAAAGTCACCGTTGTTGTCCCACCAACGCCTTTCGTGTTTGTTTAGGTCACAAGTCAGCACCCAACTTGCAACTGCTTTTTCCACGTCCAGAATCCCCTCCTTACTGTAACCAAGAAGCAGGTGGTGGGACCCGGGTGGAAGTCACAAACTCTCAAAAACGGAACCCTCCCGAACCAACGCAAAGCCCAGTGACAAGGCAGCGTTGACGCCAACGACGCGGATGCCCTGCGGGCGAAGTACTACCAGCGCAAGCCTCAGCCGACCTGGGTTCCTCCCCGAACTTGCACCTGTACATGTTTTCGTCTCAGAGCAAAGGCGCCCAAGACCTTCACGTGCAATGTTACTTGGGTGCATTTTGCTTGGATGTTAGGACTTTATCTTGTTGCCAACGAATGGGGGTTCCTTTAGACCACTATAGGTTAAACTTTTAGCAGGGGAGCAGAAAGCAACCGAGAGTTAGTAAGGGCTCTGCAACGTGGTTTTATGTTGGTCACAGCTCAGTACAGTTGGAAGTTGGGGGTTGCTGGAACAAGGGTTTCGTCAAAACGAGCAAGACTAGCCGTTCAGCTTTCCAGACTTTAATCACCGCTTTGTTTCCCGGCATGGGAATATTTTGGGTGGCTGTGGCAATACCTAGTTCGGCATCCATTTGCTGTGACACTCCATTACAACCACGCCGATGTTCTTTTTCCTATCAGGTGCTGGATTTTGATTTAAGCAGCTCTTGCGACCGTTCGTTCATTGGGAACCCAACCCCCAAGCCGTGTGAGTGAAAATCGGCGCAGAATGACGTTCACCCCAAAGAACTCGGAATCCATCATGCCTGCAGGACATTTTTTTTTCAGGTCCCATGTTAATCTAGCAACACTTTGGGCCTCAACAGCCCCAGGCTCACTCGAAACGCGAGCGCCTCCTCGCCATACGGTAACTGTCCTTTTTGGTTGTTTTGCTCGAAAAGTAGATGGCGATTCCTGGTTTGCCTGGTGTTTTTTTTCTCATCCACCAGGGAAAACCAGCTATTTCCAACCAAAAAGGACTTCTATATATGCTCCTCGCGTTTCCCTAGAAATGTCGGAAAAACGGGCCGCAGGGAGAACTTCCTGATGTTTGAGCTGTTCGTGAACCCCACCTGCAGCGCGGGCCTCAGCGGATTGCTGGTTGGACGTTTGGTGATTCGGAGACTCTCGCAGAGGTCTCACGTTGGTTGAGGGTGCAAGAGGACCAACACTTCCATTTGCTTGAGAATATTTGTTATTTCTCCTTGTGGGTATTGTTGGAGGGAATCTATCACTACTGGAAATTAGTTTATTTTTTCTGGGGGGCTCAAGCAAATGGAGGAACATAAAGCGTATAACCAAACTGTTCAATCTATCTGCTCTTCTTTGGTGCAGTTTGCTTGGATGTTAGGACGTTCACTTTTTGCTTCAACGAATGGGTTTTTTGATTAAACCACTGAAAGCTAAGCTTTTGGAAGGGGAGCAGAAAGCAACCGAGGTAAAGCGTATAACCAAACTGTTCAACCTATCTGCTTTTGGTTCAACTTGGTGTTTGCTTGTCGAGTCACCGATTGTCTCACCCTGCTCCATTGTCGAACATTCGACTTTCTCTATCAAGTCATCCAATCGGACGCGACAAGATAGTCATGGGGATGGCAATCAACTTTGGCATCCCGAACGAGGCAGCCATTGAGTCTTCATCAGTCCCATTCGAGAGACAAATGAAAGTATGCGAAGGAGGACAAACCTCTGCTGCTGTTGGGTTGGATCTTCAGACTTTAACTTTTTGGATTCCCCTTATATTTCCTTTTAACCAGCAAACAGTTTAACTTTTTCGGACCCGTTCGAACTGAGGGTTGCTCTGAGCCCGCCAAGCGCCCAATACCTTTGGCAAGGATCACTGTTTTGACTGTTTCGGGGCGGTTATCAAAGTCTGAGACTTGTTTTTTGTCTTTTGACTGTTTCGTGGTGGTTATCAAAGTCACTTTAGGCTACCACTTCGAGGCTCACGTTGATACTGATAAAACAATGCCCGACCTTGAAATGTCAACCAGCGAGTCAAGTTCACCGTCGCAGTACCCCGCTTGACTGGGTCGAAACCCAAATGGTGGTGAAAACCCACAAAATGTAGTTTCGAGAACTAGAACCCCTCAACGTATCTAGGTCCCCCAGTAGTGCCCTTCTCTCCCCGGTTTTGCGGGAGGGTTCCCCTACTAAAATAGACAAACAGAAAAAAAACAAAAAAAACAAAAAAAACATATCGGGTACCCTTATATTCTAACCTCTCTACTGGAGGACCTATAGATATATAACCGCAAGGGCCCCCATCTCACACGCGGCGCGGTTTGGGAGCTCATGGTTTTCTGCATTCACCTCCGCAATGAATGGTGCTCTTCGCTTTGCCAAAAACCGTCACGGTTGCATGTTACCGAGTGGCATTCGGCACGTTGCAGGGAAGAGATGTGATTGACTCGGTCAATCAACTGCCCTATAGTGGACACACCTGAAACATCCCCACCCGCTTAAATTTGGAATTGGGGGAGGGGGGTGACCTCTGCAATTGCATTTCTGGTTACACTTACCCTTTTATGGGGAAGGCTAGAAACATGGAATTGGGGGACACTCCCCCGCCCCTCTTTTTCAATCGTAGGGTGATCTTTATACCTTTTTCTTGATGGCTTCCAGTTTAGTTTTGTGAACAACAACACGTGTGCACTTTTTTTGTCTGGTTACTGGCCAAGTGAGTCAATGAGCTTCTCTCAACGCGAAAAGAGTACTAAAAGATGACTAAAAAAGGACCCAGCAGGGGGGTAGAACAGGCGAGGGAGATCCACAAAAAGCGCCAAATCCAAACTTTGTTCTTGAGTTTTGTGGGGCGAGTTTCAAAGTAGGGGGGCGTCTCAACAGAGTGTGGCCATCCGCACGTGGCATGCCGTTTTTTTTTTTTTGAAAGCGACGTGGGGCTGGGAGCTGGACGTAGCTTGAAGACAGATCACCTGGCGCCAACAAACTGACGGTCCGTATTCTTCAGGCGAAACACCCGAGATCGTCTCGGTGTTTCCTTTTTGGTTGCCCTTAAAACGCCCACAAACACAAATGGGAGACCCTCAAAGGTATGTGGGAGCAGGGCGCCGGGCGCCTGACGAAGTGCGGGCAAAGCTTTGTCATTTCCTGGCTCTGCAACGGAGGCCTCACTACAAAGGATCAGCTTCCCTGGAAAAGGGTGTTTGGAGCCCGGTCACTTTGAGGGTGTTCCGGGATGGTTTGCCATTTCTCAAAGAGAGCCAGGGCTTGAAATCCAAATCCAAAGCACCAAGGTTCTTGAAATGGGAAACCATCCCTAGCCCCCACAAACCAATGAGGGTTTGAATAGAAAAGAGAATCATTCAACCCAGCGCTGCACCTTTTTCCTGTTACACCATCCCGCAAAAAAGAAAACGGGGCACTGCAGCAACACGAGAGTGCTTCCCCGGAAAAAAAAGTCTCCGAGCTGCTTCCCCCCCCGGGTCTCACCACCCCGCCGGGCATCCGAAAGCTCGCGCTGAGATCCCGGGGCCTGGTTCTTCAGCTTTCTGCCTGGGCTCTCGGCAGCCCGGGAAGCCCAGGTCGCGGAGCTTCTGCGCGGCAGTTGTGGGCGGGGGCGGGGGGGGGGGTTGGGGCTGCGGGGGGGAGGGTCGGGGGCTGTGGGGGGGGTTGGTGGAGGTCAAATGAACCTAGGGATGACTTATTTAAAAAAGAAACAGAAACAAGAGCCCTGGGTCAATACCCTGGGGTGGAATTTCGCGAAGCAGGCTGCATTTACATGGCATGTGCTGAATATGACAAGCTTCATTGCTTGGCAATCTTGGCAGATGTTTTGTTGTTTCTTTCTGTTTTCTTTTTTTTCTGGATGAACCTGGTTGGGTTCCTTTCTGTTTTGCTAGATGGCTTTTTGAGATGAAGCAGACTGAGCTCGTTGGAGTGGTTTCAGATGAATTGGATTGTACGTTCCGTTTATTTCTGCCTTTGCGCCTTTGCGGGGTCCTACGAATCGAGTGGCTCGTCCGTTCGGACCTCGCTGGAGGATTCATTCACGATGCGTGTGGCTGGGATTCTTGCAACCAAAATCCCAAGTAGGGCAATCAAAAAGCAGTTCTTGCGACACGGGGTGATGTTTCAGAGAGAATAGAAGGAACCCTGAGGCCTGTTGCTTTCAAGCGTGCATTGGGACGCCGAAGGCCGAACGCGATGCCAAACCTGGGTGCAAGGAAGTTGTTCCCTCCGGCGAGAATCCGTTTACTCCGGCCCAGGTGGGGTGCCTGGTGGTGCTGCCGAACCTCACCTGGGTGAGGCGGATGAAAAGAAACCGAAGCGCGGATGCGAAAACGAAAACGCCGGATGCCGCGGATGGGTTGGTTTCGTGTGAGTCATTTTTTGGGGTCTCAGAAGGCCTTGTTCTCTTTTTTTTGCAGGTCACCCCTTACCCAGTTGCCCAGTGGCGCCCTTTGTTCTCTTGTTTTTTTTTGGGGGGAGGGTTCCCTTTTAAAGCCAGCCAAGCAAAAAAAAAGATGGCCTTTCTTTTCCCCATGGCCACTGGGCATCTGAGCCGAGTTGCTGGCTTGGATTGGTGGTTTGGGGAGTTGAGCTGGCTTTTGTAGAGGGTGGTTGGGAAACCACTCCAAAGCACCAATCCCAAACCACCTATGGGAAGCTGAGGTTTTTAGTTTTAAGCTCGGGCTCCACATGAAACAGAACCCTACCCCTGTCATTTTTGGGCCCTTCCGGCCTTGCGGGACCCCAAGACGGGTTCCATGGCAACGAGGGGAGGCTCGCCTAGGTTCGGAGCCGCTTCCACCCATTTTGAAGTTGACCAATGAAAGTGCTCGGGAGTTTCGGTTTGGAGTGTAGCCTCAAAGAGCAGCTTTGGGTTTTTTTTTGCTTGGAGTGTGAGGTGGGAAGCCCAATTTACCCTGAGAGGGAAATCCAATCCAACTTCAAGGCAAACCAAAACCCCAGCCACCGCAGGCAGCCACTTCCTGAGCCAAAATTCAGCCAGGTCCATCCTGATGGTCCTCTGCCGACGCTGCCGCTCCAAGGCGCCAGCTCCAACGAGTCGCGTGGGGACGTGAGAAACGTACAGGAACAGACCTAATCTTCGCATCCGACATTTCAAGACTTTCAGACACGCAAAATTGACGTAACACAGAAAATACCAGAGATGTCGGGAATGCTGGGAATGCAGTCGGCTGGCCACAAAAAAGTCAAAAAAAAGAGGATTTGTTGATATTTCCCAAAATCAACCATCAAAAGCAGATACTAGCAACCCCCTTCAAATACCCTAAAAATAGACTTCCAATGCAGGGGATGTTTCGCAGTCACTGCTCCGTACAGGTGGGGAATTGCAAGAAACACTCATTTTTGCAAATTCAAACAGTTCCTCAACGTATCACCGCACTTGGCCCCACCCAGACCCCCAACAGGCCGATTCCAACATTGCTTGAAACAGCAAAACGCCACTAGTATCTGCAGAAGAAAAAAAAAAACGAGACAAATTCATAGCAGCAAGGTGACCCTGATGATGCTGGGGATGCACATCCTGCGCGTCCGGGGGAACCCCCGCCTTGACGCCCTTCTTGTTGCTTGCTTGCTGGCTAAGAGCACCTGATCCACAATCAGAACCTCGGTTGAAGGTGATGTAGACATCGGTTTAGATGCGTTCGTGGCTCCACATGTCCTGTTGCTCTTTGAGTACTCTTGCACTCCTTTAGTATCCTCCAGCCCTGAACAGGTGCGGCCGCCTTTCTAAGTCTTCACATGGCCTTTGGATACCTGGACCCTCAAACTACCCAAAAAAAAAGATGGACTTCACCGTTCATCATCTTGGGTAACCCATCTTTAAGTTGGAAGATATGAGGGTCCAGGTCGACTCCTCTAGTGCCAGGTCTTGATGACTCACCTCTCTCTGCTTCTTCGGCGACTTTATGTTGCAAGAAAAACCGCCTCACTCTGGCGCCGAAAACAACTTGCTGGTGCCATAAGTAGGGAATGTGGGAATTAACCCAGGGATTCCCTTAAGGGAAGCCAGCAGTTGGATGGTTTATCAGGGCCATTTCCTCATTCCATGCTGAGCGCCAGCAAGCAAAAGAGGGAGGGCAGAGGTGTTTATGACGGGAGCCTATTGTCGGGGCGGTGGTTAACGTGTCTCGGTGTTTTTCGCTTTTGCTCGTGCAGACTGGCTATCTTTACGACGACGTCGTGAAGGCTCGGCGTTGCTTCGGCCCGGCTTGTCAAGTTGGAAGACATGGTCATCCGTTTGAGAGAACCTTCTTTGTCATGATCCATCGGCCTCTTCAGCAATCTTCCATTTGCTGAAATGAACATGTTTTCATTATTCTCCCCTAAGTTGGTTTTAATGGAAATCTATATTTCACTGGACATGACCTATATGTTTCATTCTCCCCTCTATGTCAGTACCCCAAAGGGAGCTTTTAAGTGATTTCCCCCTTTCACAAAAAGGGAGCTTGCTCAGGCCCAATCAAAAAACAACAACCCACAAGCCCCAAGCAAAAACAAGGACCTAGGCCCAATCAAAAAAACAAAAAACCCAAAAAGGGTTTTTTCCCTCCCCAAAACTTGCGGTCACCCTCAGGGTTTTTCCCCCAAATTGTGTTCCCCAAACAACGAAACGGTCAGATTTTAGCCCCCCCCCAAAAACGCCGCGGTTTCTTTCCCAGGCCCCCCCCCCCCGCCGAATGGATCCGCTCGCGGGCCCAGCTCCCCAGGCGCGCCTGGAGCGGCGCATGGTGGGCTCCTACCAGCCCCGGGCCCGGGGCCTTGCGAAAAAACTTCGGCCAAGTGAGACATGGAACCCGAAAAGGAAGAGAAACATGATGTGTGTATACAAATAGATATGTAGATATATATATATATATTTAATACAAAAAAAAAGCTCACCCCCCCCCCCCAGGGCCTACCTTTCCACTTCAAAATGTACAAAACCCTTTTATTTTTAAAGACAGGGGGTGTGAGCATATATACGCAAGAAGTGTGCTGTTGCTGCATATTTTTTTGTGGGTGACAAGTCATGTTGAGTAACAACAGCAAAGAGTTTATAAACTTACAAGACAGTTTATAAACCATGTCAAGGGTTTGACGGTTTCCCTGCAACAAGGGCAGGGGGGGCTGAGAACTTTACGGGGGGGGGGGGGGGAGGGGGGGAGGGGGAGGGGGAGGGGGAGGGGGGGGGTACTGAGAAGTCTTTACAAAGTTGGCTGAGTCACACCTCACTGCTAAGACTTCCAACCACCCCCCCCCTCCCCCCAAGACTTCCAACCCCCCTCCCCCCCCCCCCCCCCCCCCCCCAAGACTTCCAAACTCCCCCCCCCCCCCCCCTCCCCCCCCCCTCTCCCCCCCCCCTCCCCCCCCCCTCCCCCTCCCCCCCGCCCCTCCCCCCCCCCTCCCCCCCTCCCCCCCCTCCCCCCCCCCCTCCCCCCCAAGACTTCCAACCAACCCCCCCCCCCCCCATCCTTCAACGATACCATGAACACTTCGTAGGGTGTTGTTGCCTTGACGCGGGAAACTCGTCAAACACTCAATAAGGTTTATAAACTTTCCTGAAAGTTTATAAACCTTCTGTAGGCTTATTGCGTAGCAAGTGGAGACTGTTGTTTGTGGAAAAAAGGAGCAACCGCTGCAAAACACTCTGTTTTACAGCATTTTGTTGGATCTCTAATCCCTTCAAATGTCCAAATTGAAACACCTGAAACCTAGAATCTGGAGATCAGAATCCTTGAGATGTCTAATGTTGGATTCTCCAAGCCTCATAATATGGAGCCTGGAGTACTCCAACACGAATTGAATTGGAATGTTGAAGGGGGCAAAATGTTGTTTGGGAAATGAACAATCTTCGGCCCAAGGGAACACACTTTGTTTTACAGTTGGACCTGCAATCCCTTGAAATGTCCATGGTGAAGCACCTGAAACCTAGAATCTGGAGATCAGAATCCTCGAGATGTCTAGTGTTGGATTCTCCAAGCCTCATATTTTGGAGCTGGGAGTCCTCCAACATTTTTTAATATAGATTCCTTTCCAAATATACTGCGAATTGAATTGGAATGTTGAAGGGAAAACTGTTGTTTGGGGAAAACAATCTTCGGTCCAAGGGAACACAATCTGAGCAACTGCTGCAAAACACTCTGTTTTACAGATTCCTTTCCAAATATACTGCGAATTGAATTGGAATGTTGAAGGGAAAACTGTTGTTTGGGGAAAACAATCTTCGGTCCAAGGGAACACAATCTGAGCAACTGCTGCAAAACACTCTGTTTTACAGCATTTTGTTGGATCTCTAATCCCTTGAAATGTCCAATTTGAAACACCTGAAACCTAGAATCTGGAGATCAGAATCCTTGAGATGTCTAATGTTGGATTCTCCAAGCCTCATAATTTGGAGCCTGGAGTCCAACATATCCAAGTACACATTCCTTTCCAAATACGATTTTGATCCGAATTGAATTTGCTTATTGAATAGAATTTAGTAAGCACATAGTTCACCACCATTCATAATTCACCATAATGTCTATATTAGATCAGAATTTGAACAGGAATACCTTTCCAAATAAGGAAAATATGATTGCAGTAGAATCCAAATATACTTTAATGCAGACAGAATTCAATTAGCTTTTGAACATAATAATTTAATCAAGAATCCATCCCCAAATACAGCTTGAATTGGAATATAGCTTATTCTGGAAAGAAATCACTTGGCCTTTGCAATCAAATTTTAATAGTAACTCATTCCCAAATATGATTTAGCTTAAATGTGGCTAAACAAATAAAGGGCACATATCCCCAGACTCCCAAACTTGGTCTGGAGATGTGTTTGGCATGTGCAGGTCTCAGAGCTTTCATTTTCAGGAGATTTTGTGCTTTTGGGTCTGTGCAGGTTGCAGAGCTCAAAGCTGCCAAAAACATCATTTTTTCAATGTTTTTCCCTGGTGTACTCAAAACCACTGTAAAAACCAGTGATTCAATCAAAGCCAGGCTCGAATCTGAAAACGGAATCCGTTTTCGCTTTGCTGCCTTTCAAGCCTCAAATAATCAGACATTTGCTGTCACATAGAAGGTAAAAAAAACAATAAACACACTGTATTTTACAGTGTTTTCAGGCATCTGCAAGAAAGAGGCACACAGAGTAGAGTTGACACCTTCAACTAGAAGAGGGCAAAGGTAGGCCCTGGGGGGGGGGGTGACCATACATATATATATATATAGATATGTAGATATGTAGATATATACATATATAGATATGTCTATATATATGTAGTTAATAAGATAAAAGTACAATCCAACTGGTGGCTTCCTTTAAGGGGACCGGAGCCCTTCCGGTTCATTCCAACTCGTTGTGCACTTATCGCTCCAGCAAGTTTTGCTGAATTCCTGGGAGTAAACTCGAAGCAAACGATATGGAGCTAGCGCGTTTTGTTTGTCATTCGCAAGGTCTAGCTCGAATGATGTTCTGGGCACAACTTTGGTGCATTGTGCTCGGATGTTAGGACTTTAACTTTTTGCCAACTAATGGGTTTTCCATTAAACCACTAAAAGTTAAACTTTTAGCAGGGGAGCAGAAAGCAACCGAGGCAAGAGATGTGTGCTGGAGTAGGAGCGGACAGGCATGTCTTTGGCCAGAGAATTTGCTGTGAATGGGCGGAATCAATATCGCACCAGTTGGCGGCGTTATCCGCTGCGCCCTGTGAGTTCTAACAACACCCCAAATCGTGTTTTTGAGTTTTGTTTTTTAAGGTTTGGTTTGACAGGAAACCAAAAGGAAGCAAACTCATTGCGTGGTTGCGCTGTTTTGACAGGCCTATTTGAGCCGCACAAAAGAGGGTCCTCATTTTTTGTTTAATCAATCTGACTGCCGACTCTTTAGCCTCTCCCCAGCTTCTTTCAGAGGTGCTCATATCTGCCTTCTGGTTGCTAGACATCACCTCACTCCCCGAGTTCGGACTTTACACTTGTTTGGGAAGGCCATTTTGGTGGTAAACAAATCATTTGTGTTTTTGTTGGGCAGTCCACTTAGGAAGTGACTCAAGGTGAATTGAAGACGAGTCTTATTTTGGTGTAATAGGCATCTAAAAGGCTGCTGAACACGCAGCTTGATTGATGTCAGGTATCCATTCCGGGTCTGTTTTTTTGTTGAGGGTACCCTTTCTCAGGTTGATTTAAAGAGACACCAAGTGGAAATCACACTCTCTCGTTTTTTGGTCAATGGGCTTCGCCTATTTTAAGACACACACCTCCATTTGTTTCATGCCAAGTACTCCAAAAAAACAAGTCTGATCGGAAGTCGGCGGATCCCGTCGTCGTCGGATGGGATCTGAGCATAGGTGTCCTTTTGGGTTGTTTTGCTCCAAAAATAGATGGCGATTCCTGGTTTACCTCGTGGTTTCATCATCTATTTCCCCTAAAGGTCATCCATCTATCCCCGAATTGTTTCCAGAGTTTCCTGTAAGGTTTCCATGTACTCTGGTGGTTTGCCAGGGCCCCGGCGATTTCCTCCACCCAAAACTGGACACCTTTGATCGATGGGATGGGATTCGATTCGATCGAGGTGCACCCGGGCTATCAGTCCGCGTTCAAGCTCATGGACCTCACCGCCAACTTCAACGAGCAGGGGCGCGAGCCGAGCGATCCGGACTCCGGACTCGGATCGGGGGATCGGGGGATCGGGGCGCCTTTCTTCGGGCTCCGAGCAGAGGGCTCGGGGCTCTTGGGCTTTTGGTTTCTTTTTAGGAAGCTGGGGGGGGGGAGGGGGTCGTGCTTTTGAGGCCACCCGTTTTTTGTTCCCTTTTCCTTTTTGTTCCTTTTTTTTTCTCGTCTCGTTTTTAAATGTAGCTTTCAAGGGAACCGACGGGAGAAAACATGGGATGAGCTTGTTTTGTTTGGGGCTATACCCGTTGTTGGCTTTCAAGTTGGGGGGGGTGTCATTGTAGACACATACTCAAGAAAAGGAGGTTCAGACGCAAACAATCCAAAGCACCCTTTCTAGAAGCTGGGAATAGTGGGAAAGCCCCAGACCCTGCTTCGTATCCAGTCAGCTAAAATATAAACCACTGGAAACCCCCGGATGAAAGGCCATCCTTATGAAATGGGGGGGTGTCACCCGCCCACAAAACTTCGGTGCATGTTGCTTGGATGTTTGGACTTTCTGTTTTTGCCAACTAATGGGTTTTCCATTAAACCACAGCAGGGCTTCGCAGAAAGCAACCGGGAAAAGTGCAAGGGTGTGTCTGAACCCGTGGTTAACATTACTTTGGGGGGAGCTTGGAGGGGAGGATGGGCTCGT